GTCTTAACTTGTTGTCCTTTAAAAATGAAAGTTCTCCCCATTGAAATTACCTTTTAAACTAATTTAAAGTTTGATGTTACTTTATCAGATTTTAAAAATTTATCTGAAGGAGGTGTAGAGGGGGAAGCTAGGTCTTGCCAAGAACACTAATAGTATAAATAAGTTGGTGAAAGAAATGATACAAAGGGACACAAGTGTGAGATGGGAGCTCACCTAGGTTATGCCAGGTGTCCCAGTTATTTCTTTATGCTTTCAGAGTTTTGTATAACTTCTACAGGATTTGACTGTCTCCCCAAGAATTCTGGGTTAGCCAGCCACACAATCTATATGACAGTCATTTCACTGAAAGGTGGTTTTTTTTTTTTTTTTTTTTTTTTTGGTTTGTTTTATCTCACCTGTTTCCAGAATAAATAGATAAAAGAATCTCTCTAAGAATCTCTCTTACACCCACATCAGTAAACAGCTTACTGATCAAAAACCAGGCATCATTTTTACCCCCTCTCTAAATCAGAGGAAAATCTTGCCATGTTTTCTTGCCAAGAAGAGAATCTTGCTTTGTTTATTTCACTTAAGTCCTATCTTCCTCAAAATCTATAATAGTTTAAGGCAATCTGGACGATTTGTACTTATCACAACTTGGAAAGGAATTCTTAAGCATCTGACTGACAGCAGAATTAAAAGCTTTGAAATTCCTTTGAGGTGTAAGCAGTCTTTAATGACCCCGATTTTATTTTTTAATACGGTAAACAAATAGTAAAAGTCCTCTCCTGATGAAGTCGCCTCATGATTAAATACATATTTCACTTTGTGCCTAATATGAGGAGTGAGAGTTCAAATAAAAACGGTCTGAGCCAAAAGTATGGATGACATATATATTTGCATAAAATAAGAAGAATACATTTTTACTGCTGTTTATAGAAAACATGTTTTTTGGCACAAGCTTCACAAAGACTTCATAGAGAGTCCCATGGAAATAAGTTTAAAGTAAATTGTGGAGAGATACCTAGGAATTCTTATAAGGACTGTAAGCAGTTTAGTAGTTAAATGACAAACAGGCAAACAGGTCCTTGTATTTAAAATGGTGTTTGTGAGGGAGTATATTGAAATCTGTAATATCAGGATGCAACATTAATTGTATAGGAAGAGGCTTCCTGGGAAGAATGCAGATCTTTTACCACCATTCAAATACAGATACTGAAACTGTAAACGACTCAGTCTCATTTTGTGTCCTGGGATTTTATATATTAACCTTTTGCACTCCGAACCATTTTATGATATTTTGATTTAATTTCTTGTGCCATTTCAAGATAAAACTTCAGGGAAACATGCATGTCTCAAAAAGTTGCGTTGAAATAACCTCAATTCCCCATAATCACTAATAAATTGCAATGTCCCCTGAGAGGGTACAGCGGAGTGCAAAGGGTTAATTAGTTGCCTTTCTCTCCCCTCCACCCCCCAAGTCATTTGAATTTCTGGTTTTAGTTTTCTTTCTTATGAATCTGGGTTTGTTTTTCTTATTTAAACAATTCTTGCCTCGGCACGTGTGGCACGTGTTCAAGTGTATTAGCAAGCACTTTCCAGTTCTTTTTAATGACCAGCTTTGCTCTGAGCGGGCTGTTATTCCTCGATTACCTGGGTGTCGAGGGTGGTCACTTCCCGGGAGAGATGAGTTATAACTGCAAGACACCCATCGGGAGAAAAATGCCAGAGGGGAAAATATATTAAATAGGAACATATTTAGATGTTCATTTATTTATTATTTTTGTTTTTTAAATTTTATTTAAATGTTCATTTACTTTATTCATTTTATATAAATGGGATACAATACCAGACAGAGATGAGAAGAATAGGCTTGGGGTGAGCTACGTGGCTTTGGGCAAATTACTAGGCTGCTCTGAATGTCAGTTTTTCCCCTTGTGGGTGGAGGTGATAACCCATCCTACTCACGCCTGGTGTGAGCATGAAAGTGAACAGGGGAGCACGGTAGAGGTGGGACACGCAGTCTCGTGAGATGTCCACATTCGGTATTTGGGAGGGTGGAGCCATTATGGGGCTGGCTACAAGATACAGAGAACTATGGAATTTCATCAGTGTTATGAAGACATTTTTGCCATAATGCGGTGTCTTATGTTTTAGTTTTTTAATTGGGCAGTTTTTTAAACAAAATATTGCTTCTCATATGCATTATTTTTTTTCTTCCCTGTTTAATTTCTAAGTACCTTGTTCATTTAGACGCCAGCATGATTTGTCAGAAATAGCTACTCAGGGCACAGGATCCTTTCTGCAGACTGGAGGTGCACTTTATTTTTTTTAATTTAATTTTATTTTATGTTAAAGATTTGTTTATTAATACAAGCACTGGGTACAGTCAGAAGCGAGGGAGGGTGAGAGAATTCACCAGAGCCAGAGCGGGGAGCAGAGCAGGCAGAAGGACCGAAGTACACTGCTGAGGGGAGCAGCGGGCGGCAGGAGAGGTCTGCACGCCATGCGGGACCCTCCTCCGGTGGCCGGGGAGCAGCTGGGGATCGAATTGGTGCTGCAGAGGCTGCGGGCAGCTTCGCAACCCAGCGCTCAACCGCTGCGCCACCGGGGAGGCCCTGGAGGTGCACTTTAGACAGCCCTTTAAGACCAGACCTACAGAAGGAGCTGGAAGGACCCTCCCCATGCGCATGATGGAAGAATCTTGGCTTCCTCATTGATGTGTAGGGTGGGCTGTATTTGCCAATCCAGTAGGCATAAGAAATTGTTGAGCTGTAGGGATAGAAGGAGAGAGGTGGATCAGCCCTGTTTGCAATGTCGTCCTTCGATAATCCATTCTCCGTCACTCTGGCATCTGCTTGTTTTGATGCTGCAGTAGAGCTGGGGAGACACATTAAAAGACCGTGTCCACATAGCGCAGTTCGATTCGGGACTTCTGTCCACAAAAGCCCAGTTCTGCAAGTCTCCTTCTCCTTCCACATCCTCCTACCTGCAGTTGTCACACTGGGGCTCTTTGGGAATGACCTATTCCTGCCTTTCTCCATGACACAGTCACTTCCCAGGAGAGCCTAGGACAGCACTCAACCTCCCTTTCCATACTCGTCAGTGGAGACGCCCACTACTACTTTTCTCATTGGAGCGCGTCTTCCGAGAAACTGCCTGGGAAGCGCTGTGATTCTGTGTCCCAAGTCTCTGTAAGACATTTCCCTGCTAGTTCTTTCCCGGGCTGTGTGCCCAGGGCTGCTACCCTTCTCTGGTTGGGAAGGGGCTGGACCGGCAAGCAGGAGCTGCAGGTGCCCATGCTCGCGAGGACCCAGAGAAACACAACATGGCATGTGTTGACAAGGGCAAGTTGCTGAGCCTTCACAGCCTGGCTCCTTCCTGGTCATAATTTCCATCAAACTGTGGATACTACCTGCAGGCGATTCCTGTGTGTTTGTGGTGGGGGGTACCTGCATGTCCCCACCTTTTGACCCCACTTTCAGTGGCCAGTGGGCTCTAAGCATTGAAATGTATTCCTCTCGCCTGAAGCCCCACACACCATGATATATTTCTCCTGGTAAAGATGGATACTTACTTAAGTCAGCATCATCCAGTGACTTGAGATTTTATACTCCCTGCTGCCTTTTTAGACCAATATCATTTCCCAAGATAAAAATCTCCTCAAGGATGAGGTGACAACCCAGTGACCATGCTTAGGACTCTTGGCTACCCTGTGTGTACTAAACACCAGTTGTTTGATCTGCTGTGGTCATCATTAGCCCTTGAAATAGACACGTTGGATACTTCTCCTAATGATAGAATACTTAATGTCTATGTGGATGATAAAATTAAAAAATCTTTAGACATTGTAAGTTATCATCAGAGCTCTTTTCCATATTTCTAAGAAATGTCAAAAATTTGTTTCATCCTTTTTCCTTCTCTTGCCTGATGTTTATGGGGCATGCTGATGAATGCTGAAATTCCTTAAGTAAGAGTTTAGAGGAACATGTTAGAGGTAAATTGGGGGGATCAAATACATACATTTCTTCCTTAAGAATGAAAAGTTCGGGCCTCCCCGGTGGCGCAGTGGGTGAGCGCTGGGTTGCAAAGCTGCCCGCAGCCTCTGCATTGCCAGTTGGATCCCTGACTGCTCCCCGGCCACCGGAGGAGGGTCCCACATGGCGCGCAGACCTCTCCTGCCGCCCGCTGCTCCCCTCAGCATTGTGCTTCGGTCCTTCTGCCTGTTCTGCTCCCTGCTCCCTGCTCTGGCTCTGATGAATTCTCTCACCCTCCCGCGTTTCTGACTGTACCCAGTGCTTGTATAAATAAATAAATACATACATAAATAAATAAAAATAAATCTTTTTTAAAAATTTAAAAAGAAAAGAATGAAAAGTTCACCATTTACTGGGGACAAGCTTTCATATGTGGAAAGGGCTAATGGTGAGGGCACCAGCTCTGAGACTGATGGGTTGCAGGCTTGTCGTGTTGCTTTTACTCTCTCTGTGTCCCAATGTCTCCATTTACAAAATGACATACTACTTCATAGGGTTATTTTTAGGATTAAATGATTAATACATGTGAAGTATTTAACATGTGACCTGGCCACTGTCTGCACACAGTAATGTTGGACAGAAAACCAAGGGAGAGAACTCCTATTTCTCAAGGCAGACATTTAGGGAATTTTTTCCCTCCTTTTCTGGACACTAGTCTATAATTAATCACTCCATTGTCCCTACCTGAGTGGCTGAGGCTTCTGGACTCCTCATCTGTGATTACCTGCTTGTTAATGTAATCATTCGTGTCTATAGACTAAAGATAACTTGAGATAATGCGTCTCAAATTTACTCATCTGTTAAATAGAAATTTTGTAATGTCCACGTCATAAGGCTAGTGAGTGTATCAGAAGAGCTGAAACCCAGAACACCCTGAGTGTTGGCATGTAGCATGCCATAAATAACACGAGGACCACGTGTGACTTTGTTTAGTGTTCTTGAGAAGAATTCTTGATCAAGAGGCCCGTGTTTTCTGCCTTTCAGACGTTCCTGATGGTGATGGGAGTGGTGGGCGTGGCCGTGGCCGTGATTCCGTGGATTGCTATCCCCTTGGTTCCACTCGGCATCATATTCTTTGTTCTTCGGCGATATTTCTTAGAAACGTCGAGAGATGTCAAGCGCCTGGAATCTACAAGTGAGTCCAGTTTCAGTTTGGGGTGTCATTGTGAGTGGACTTCCACGTAGGCCATTTACCTAAGGACACCCGTGGAATTAAGTGGTCTGTCTTCCAAGTTCTCACTCAGCATCAGGAATCGAATACTGTGGCCACCCTAAGGTAGCGAGACCCTTTGGGCAAATGGACCGACCTCTGGCAGCCCTGCACGTAGCACGAATGAAGGACGTGCGTGGAATATATTGTGCCACTGCTCATGTGTACAGATGGATGCAGAAGTAATTCCCTACAGAGGACACAGGAGAGGGATCAGTTTGGCATTTCTTTAGTATATTACAGTTGTCAACTTCCTAGCGTGGGAACAATGAGGAAAACATTTTTATAATTAGGCATTGCATTCTACAGGTAATCACAGAGAATGAAGTAATTCAGAGCTTATTTCATCATTAATGCACACACATATTTCATTATTAAAACAACATCACAAGCAGTAGAATCTTAAAACATAGAGGCATATAAGCTAAGTGAAAAGGGTCTAAAGGTACAAACCTCCAGGTACAAAGTAAATCCTGGGGTGTTGTACAGCATGGTGACAAGCATTAACAAGCCTGTCTCGCAACTTTTGGAAGTTTCTAAGAGAATTATCGTAAAAGTTCTCATCACAGAAGATGTATGATGATGGCTGTTAACTGGACTTACACTGGTGATCATTTCATAGAACCTACAAATACCAAATCACTATGTGGTGTGCTTGAAACTAATACAGTTAGTTTATACTAATTGTATACACCAATTACACCTCAATTTGAAGGACTTTAAAAAAAAAGTGTAAGGATGATAGCCAAAAAAGTAAAGAAGGAAGATATTTGTACCAGGTAACCCTCAGCTAGCTACCAGGTACTTGTTCCTAGTCGTCGCCATTTTTGCTTTCTGGAAGTAGAAAGAAACATAATGAAGAGCATAAGAAGAGAAGCATATTGAGCCCCATATCTACGCAGTGGAAAAATGCAAGTTCAGCAGGATAAATGAGTTGTTTGTGACATATATATTTGAGCAAAAGATAGTAGGTGACAGTTCCATATAAGTCACAGAAAATCTGTTTAGTCATCAAGCGAAATAGTTACCTGCTGTGAAGGTTTGGGAGACATTTTAGTGGGAAGACAGGGCAGAGTAGACTGGATGTGTGTGGTATTCTGGGATTTGGTCCCATGATGGGACTTGGAAAAACCTAACGATAAATGATGAGCTACAGCCCGTGTTCTGTGTAGTCAACAAGGCTTCAGTTGTCACATGATCTGAAGCTGCTGCTGAAGTGGAGTCTTTCCGTAGTCTGGTTGCACAGGAGGGCTCTGGGGTAGTCGAAAGAGACATCAGGGAAAGATGCAGAGGGGGGCTATGTTTGAGAGGGATGTTGACAGGTGAGTTAGCAAAGTTAGAATTGAGTTGTCTAAATTTGAGGCGTTTGATCAGGCATTTGAGGGGTGACATGATGAGTCCCTCACCCTTGGGGAGCCCCGGGGATGCCTGACCTCGCAGCACAGAAGGCAGCTGGTCTCCCTGCATCCAGCCTCATGGAACTTTCTCCGTCCTTCCCCAGCTCGGAGCCCCGTGTTTTCCCACTTATCAACTTCTCTCCAGGGACTCTGGGTGATCCGGGCATTCAAGGCTGAAGAGAGGTTTCAGGAACTGTTCGACGCGCATCAGGATTTGCATTCAGGTGTGTGTGTTTCTAAAGCTGGTGTCAGAGGGTGGGATGTGTTGCCTGCTCAGGCTTGGCCTCCCTCCCAACGGCTGCCTTGTCCCTCACCTTGCGCTCTGCCTCTACGTGTCTTCCTCCTGTCACCCTTCCTCTTGGTTTAGTCTCCTCTCAGAATCTCCACTTACACCTCTGAGGGGAGCAGCGGGGAGACAGGAGAAGTCTGCTGCACCTTGTGGGTTGCTCCCGGGCCAGCTGTGGATAGAACTCATGCTGCAGAGGCTGCCAGTTGCTTGATAGTGCTGTCTTTAACCCCTGCGCCACCAGGGAGGCCGTGTATTTCTTTTTCTAACCTCTGAGTTGAACTTTTCCACCAGTGCTTCCTGCAGACCCACTGTCATGACTCCTGTGCTCACCATATACCTTATTTTGTATGAAAACATGAGCTTACCAGAAGCTTCAGGCCCCCGGGCATGCCGCCTTAGAGTCCTGCTTCGTGTAAAAGCCTTCTGTAGCTCAGCTGAGCCCAGTGTTCTCCCTCCCTCGAAGCAGCTAACGTGATTTCTCCCTGTCCCCATGCTGCTCCTGTGTCCAGAGGCTTGGTTCTTGTTTCTGACGACGTCCCGATGGTTCGCCGTGCGTCTGGATGCCATCTGTGCCATCTTTGTCATTGTTGTTGCCTTTGGGTCCCTCATTCTGGTAAAAAGTGAGTACAGATGTGAGTAACTATCTGTGGTATGATTGCAATTTGTAGCTGCGTTTACAGTTGCTAAATTAAACTCTTGCCCCCTTGTCTACTAGCGTGGACTAGGGTGCCGAAGAATTGTGTGAAAGTGTCTAGCAGAATGCTTCAGGTTTGGGGTGATTCAGCAGTGTGGCCCATGCAGAGGAGCCATTTGGATTTTGGAGCTTCCTTTTATCTCTCTTCCAGTGGGCTGAGGCCCATGCCAATGAAACCAGCAGGAGGAGCTTTCTTGGAGTAGCAGGTAGTTGTGGGGAAAGAACCAAGTCTGCCGTGAAGCACGTGCATGACATAGCTTGGGGCCTCAGGTCTCAGCTGTAAGACTACTCAGATGTCTTGGATGTAGGTGCCTGGTGCCCAGGGTTGAAAGGAATATCTTAGATTGCAGTGTTACTACAATAAAAACTTTTTTTTTAAATGATAAAAGACCATGATTCTCAGCAGGATGGAAAAATCGCTGTCCTCTGTGCTGCTGCCCACTGGTACAAGGGAGCAGGATGGGGTATGTGCATGGCATGACCTGGCCACCCCCAAGTCTTCTGTAGTAGCAACACTGAATCAGAATGGAGCAGTGAAAATCATACTTAGATTCTTATTTTTAAAACGATTTATTTATTTATGCATACAAGAGCTGGGGTACAGGCCAGAGATGTGGAGGGTGAGAGGACTCACCAGGACAAAGTGGGGAACAGACTGACTGAAACACACTGCTGAGGGGAGCAGCGGGCGAGACAGGAGAGGTCTGCTTCGCCATGTGGGTTGCTCCCTGGCCAGCCGGGGATCGAACTCGTGCTGCAGAGGCTATAGATTGCTTCATTGTGCGGTGCTCAACCCCTTAAACTACCAGGGAGGCCCCCATACCTAGATTCTCTAAGAGCACTGGGTCAAAGAACCCACTGTTTGTCTTTTTTAAAAAAATAAAGATCGATTTATTTATGCATGCAAGAGCTGGGGTAGAGGTGCAATGCGTGAGAGGATTCATCAGAGACAGAGTGGGGAACAGAACAGGTAGATTGACTGAAATACACTGCTGATGGGGAGCAGCGGGCAAGACAGGAGAGGTCTGCTGCACCATGTGGGTCAGCACCTTGACTGTCCAGGGATGGAACTCATGCTGCAGTGGCTGGCGATAGTTTGATAGCGCCGTGTCTTTAACCCCTGTACCACCAGGGAGGCCCCACTCTTCGTCTTTCAGTGGTTTCCAACCGTGGTTGCACTGCACGTAGAAGGTGAAATGACATACTATTTCTTGAAACCCTAACAATGAAGTCTTAATAAAGACATTTTCCCTCACCTCTGTCTTTCACTGTGTCCTGGTCTCAGCCAACAAATAATAGAACCCCGACTGGCATTTTAAGGGAGGTGACTAAATTTGATAAAGACCTCAACTTGGGGGGAGGTGGCGGGAGCTGGGCTCAGGGTCCAGATGGGACTGACTTTGCTCCCTTCTTCCCCATCCAGCCTTGGATGCTGGGCAGGTCGGCCTGGCACTGTCCTACGCCCTCACGCTCATGGGGATGTTCCAGTGGTGTGTCAGGCAAAGCGCCGAAGTGGAGAATATGGTAATGTTTATCTTAATGTTCTTTGCTTTTTTTTGAAGTCCCCTTGCCATTAAATGGCATAAAAGCCATTCTTATGTAAAACATTAAAACTGTTATTTTTACATTGTAGCGAACAGTTTTTTAGATCCTTCCTCCCATCTGTTTAAAGTTAATGTCGAATAAAATATATACATCTTTTTCTCAGTCTTATGGATGCTATGTCAGCAGGTTTTCTATTCCTCACAAGTGTCTTCAAATGTAATAAATGTCTCTGTAGGAGGGAGTTCTGAAATCCTGGAGAGGATATAAGCTAATTTCTGAGGGGCCTGTTTATTTTTGTTTCTTAATGGGTAACTCCTCAGTCCTGGTACAAGAATTCAATATTTTGAGGTTGTTTGTTTAACTAATAGGTACCCCCCCACCCCATTTTAGTATTTATTGTTGAATGTGTTGACTGCCTGAGCATCCTGGGGTCCCTTCTTCCTTGCAGGATGAGCTCCCTCTGAGGGTGTGCTGGGCGAAGGTGTCCAGTTAGGCTTGTTCAGGAAGGCCTAGTCAGTATAGAAGTTAGCCCCTCTTTTGAGAATTTGCACCTTCTCCTAAGCAGAGAAAAGCAATGGAAAGGAAATCCTTCCATTTGGCGCTTCTATTTGTTTATTTTTTTAGAGATTTATTTGTTTATGCATGCAGGTAGTAGGATGCGGGGGGGTAAGAGGATTCATTCTGATAAAACAAAAGGTGACTGAGTATTTGGATGAGCTCTGAAGTGCCTCCATTCGGCGCTGCTCTAACATATGACCTTCTGTGGCCAAAAGTCACTTTGCTTTGACAGAATCCCCTTGTTCTTCATTCCGGCGTGAGTGTGGCTACATGAAGGCTTAGCACTGGCCTCTGTGATCCTTCCGCTCTGATAGGACGTTGAAGGTGTGACACGTGTCATTCCCGGCCTCAGCTAACTCCTTCTCTGCTCCCTGGAGCGTGAAGACTTGCGTTACGTCCACCACCAGGAGCAAAAGAAACGTTTTGTTTACTGCACCCCCGACCCACATGCTGTGTTCCGTGTCTTGCAGATGATCTCAGTGGAAAGGGTCATGGAGTACACAGACCTAGAGAAGGAAGCCCCTTGGGAAGGCCAAAAGCGCCCCCCACCGGGCTGGCCGCATGAGGGTGTGATTGTCTTTGACAACGTGAACTTCTCCTACAGCCTGGACGGGCCTCTGGTGTTGAAGCACCTGACGACCCTCATCAAGTCCCGAGAAAAGGTGTGTTGAACCCGCCCCCCGGCTCTTTACCATCTTGACTAAACCTTTGGCGCCTTGGCTGCCTGCTGGCTTTCTCGTGAATGTGTATGAACAGGCGGGTGGCGCTGAAGGAAACTTCCTTGGAAGCAGACACGGGAGACAGAGGCCAGTGTCCTCGTCTGTGAGCTACATACTGGTGGGTGTGCCTGGGCCTCAGCACCTACTGGGCTTCACTGGAGCCAGGTCCCATATCCGACATGGAGTTGGCCATGCCCGAGTCTTGGAAGTCAACCTTGGCTCTTTGCAGCTAACCCCCTGTTACCTAATTCCTATGAATTCTTTGCGTTTCTCAAACCCCCCTCTTCCTCTCTGAGGCCCCTTAGGTCACAGCCATCTTGCTCCTGGGCCCTTCCCATGCACCCCGGGGAACACACGTTGCTGCTGCCCTCCCACCTGCAGAGTGCTGCATCCAGACACACAGCTCTGACCCTCTTCCCCGGGCGGGCTGCTGCTAGAATCTCTCGAGGCTCCAGGCCACCCCAGCAGCAGCTCCCTGGTCAGCTCTCAGCCCCCATAACCCGCCAGGGCTCAGGATCCAGAGCCCCATTTAAGAGCTCAGAGACTCCTCCAAAGCCATGAAAGGGAGCCTGAGGGGGAGCAGGAGATGTAGGAGACCATGAGGGGTTTGTGACCTACCCTGCCAGTGTCTAAGCCAGCCTGCGACGTCCCTTTCTCCTGTGGCTTAGGGGGCCCTCAGCCAGGACCAGGGTAAGGAAGGGGGTAAACCAGGACAGTGGCAGGAAGCAGTTCTCCCTCCCAGCCCTCCAGCCTCAATGCCTGACCTGCTCGCCTGATGCACTAAGCTCCTATGTAGGTTCTCCCACAGAAACGGGTCCTGCCCGCTTGTGAGGCCCCTTTCCTCCACCATTCTGGCTGTTGAAGGCCCCTCCCTTTCAGAGTCAGCTCTGATGTCTCTGTGAGAAGACCCTGCATCCTCCCACCGCATCTTACGTATTTATAGCAGCATTATTCACGGGGACCAAAGGTTGGAAGAGACTCAAGAGTCCATGGACAGATGAATGGACTAAAAAATGTATACATGGACGGTGGAATATTACGCACCCTTAAAAAGGAAGACAGTGAGAACACATGGATGAGCCTTGAGAACCTTATGCTAACTGAAATAAGCCTGACATAAATACTGTGATTCCACAGTTCCCAGAGTAGTCAGAGTCATGGGGACAGATGCAGAATGGTGGTCACTGGGGCTAGGGAAGAGAGGGCGTTCTTTACTAGGTGCAGTGTTTCAGTTCTGCAAAAAGAATCCAAATGCTGGCCGTCCAATGGGGTTCATGTACTTAACCCTTCTGAATTATACACGTAAGCGTGCTTGAGCAGTTACTTTTACATTATGTGTATTTTACTGCAACTTTAAAAAAAAAAAAACGAGCATGCTTACTACATGTTTTGTAGTATTTGGTGTGTATCTCATAGTATCCTGAGGCTCTTAAAGGACAGACAGCATCTCAGTTTCATCTTGGTTCCCCAGGAAATGGCATTCTGCGTTCATGGGGCTGAGGCCTTGGGCATGCGAGCCCCGTGCACTAAAACATACACACGAGTGTGCTCCTGGGACAGCCCGGGTACTTGGAAGTTAAGGTTCAGTACTAACAGTTGTGCTTGGAAATTCTCTATCACCACCCCATGGAGCAGACTCCACCCTGGTGCCAGGAAGAATAACTGTTCAACTTCATGCCCCAATGATAAGGCGCACAGCCAAAGCCAGTTCCCAGTTTCTTCCAGGCCCCTGTGGTCGGCAGAAGGCGAGGCCCTGAGGGCAGCCCTCTGTCCTGAGGACGTGACCAGGACACTGCAGTGTGTCTTCCCAGGTTCACCTTGTCAGCATAATTCCCTTAATTAGCACATGTCATACATTTCCCTGGAAACCTGAAATATTTCTACGTGGTACAACTTTGAACAGAAACATATTCTTCCACCTTAACCCCCTCACCCTCCAGTCATCAGATTAGCAGAGATTCCATCGTGTTGGAGGAGATTGAATTTGGACACTGAAAGATAAGCACAGCCGTCACCTGACTTTTGATGTGCGTTGTGGGCCACCACCCTCTCCCCTCTCCCGCCACTCATTTCTGAGACAGCGTCTCCTGGCAGCATCTGCAATGACTTCCCTCTGCCTCTGCACAGCAGAAACGGGACTTGATTCTCCTCCACTTATTTCCTCTGCTTTGTCCTTCCTTGGAAGTTAAATAGGGCAATGCAAGAGGTGCTAAGCAGAGTTTCTAATACATGAAAGAAATAACAAGTTAAAATAAAGAACCCAAATGAGGTAAATAGCACCCGAGGCTTCCTGGTTAGAGTCTAAACACTGGCTGCATTTTTCATTTTTTAGATGATTTTGTGGTTGATTTGATCATTTTAGAGAGTACTGGGCCATTTTAAAGCATTTTCCTGCTCTAGAGGTAGATTGATTTTGGTTTGTTATTTTTTTTTTTCTTGCTCAGAGCTATTACTTGGATAATACATTTTTACAGATGTGTACTAGACCTTGCTATAATGGGCAGGAATATTAGTTTCCTACATTTTCACCTTTTTTACATGCTATTTTCTCAGAATGCCCTCCCCTTGCTCCCAGATTGTCCTACTTCCCCTGCTGCCTCTAATCCCTTGCTGTTCAAACTGTGGGTCTGTCAGGACCAGCAGCACTGCGTCACCTGGAGCTCCTTCGAAATGCAAGGTCTCAGGCCCACCCAGAATAGCATTGGAGGGCCTCCCCGGTGGCGCAGCAGTTGAGCGCTGGGTTGTGAAGCTGCCCGCAGCCTCTGCAGCATCGGTTCAATCCCTGGCTGCTCCCCGGCCACCGGAGGAGGGTCCCACATGGCGTGCAGACCTCTCCTGCCGCCCGCTGCTCCCCTCAGCAGTGTACTTCGGTCCTTCTGCCTGCTCTGCTCCCCGCTCTGGCTCTGGTGAATTCTCTCACCCTCCCGCGCTTCTGACTGTACCCAGTGCTTGTATAAATAAATAAATAAATCTTTAAAAAAGAATAGCATTGGAGGAAGAACTCCCACAACCCCCAATAAGGTCATCATCCCACAGGCAATTTCTAAGAAGTACCCTTTGACAATTTGCAATTGAGCTCATGAATTCCCCGGCCCCTCCTGTGAGGATGAGGTTCTAGAAAGTTCTGTGCCACTTAGCGCCTTACAGTTTTTATTTACTTTGATTGTCTGCACATTGTGAATTTACACTGTAACTTAATTGTGTGTGTTTCTAGATTTGAGCATTTCTTTGGGTCTTTTTAGTGCAGTCTGTCTGTTTCACAGTTTTCCTCCTGCTCTTTGGGGGTGTTCCCCTACAGGCTCAGCCCTGCCTGGACCCAGAGGAAGAGACACCGCCTGCAGCATTATAGCCCTTTTACCTGATAGAGTCACAAGGAGGGTCTTCCTGGCCTGTTCCCCAGTTCCCCTGAGCCCCACTGAGCCGTGGGGGCCAATCTTGCTGTCGGCAAGTAGCTCACTAACCATGGCTGCCCTCTTTGCTCTGAGCCTACTGGTTCAGCAGCAGGACATAAGGCTCCAAACCACTTAAGTGATAATGATGAGGCCATCAAAAAGTGAGCAAGAGGCAGGCAGACCTGGGTATGAGTCTCATTCTGCTGCTTAGGGTCTCTAGTTGTGCCAAGGCTCTTCCCTTTTGCAAAAGGAATTTACCTCTTGGGTCACTCACTGTACTGCTTCAATGAGATGAGACCACGTGCCTAGCACAGACACCTGGACACTCGAGTGGGTGTGAAATGACTGTCACCACTTACACTACTGTATCGGTTGTCTGCCCCATGCCACGAGGGGTCGGCCATTTGCAGTTGTATTTATGCTGATAGATTCTATCTGCCGCGTCTTCTCTGTCCAACTTACTGTATTCCTGAACAGCATGGTAAGAGAGTTTCCATTGGCTTCTTCAGGCTGAACTAGATTCCGCTTTCTACGAAATGCTTGTTTTGCATAGGACACCACAGGTCACACAAATGATGCCAAGGAGAATCCAATACTGAGCCTCTATCAACAGAGTCTAGTAGGAATAAGGTAGGATAAATGTGGCTCTTGTGGAAGGCAGAAGGGGACCAGAACTGGCATGCGAGTGTAGAAAAAGGCAACTGAATGTCTGTAGGGGTGGGAGAAGTCCACGTGAGCGCACAGGTAGAGCATTTCCAAAGAGCCAGGCCTTGGAAACAGACTTGTAGCTGGGGCTTCAGCAAGGGATGTGCATTCCGGTGGGTGGCAGGTGGGTAGCAGGATGGGTGCAAGCAAGACCCAGGGCTGTGAAGTGGTGAAGGGTTCAGTGCCTGGAGCACATTTGGGGAAGCCAGTGTCCAGCCACATACACCTGTGCATACTTATCCTCATGCACACCCGTAACCCCAAGGAGGCTGGCTCCTGGAGGTGAGGAGCTGAGAGGTGAGAGACTCCAGGCAGCGTGGCAGGCAGAGCTGCTCTTGGAGGCTGTCTGAGGAGTGTGGGACCTGCCACTGGGCCACTGGGACCGTGGCGGGAAGGCTGGAGGCAGGAGGCCATTGGCTGCTGTGTACACGTAGCAAGAAGAGACAGCAAAGCAACTCCGCTGTTTGGGATCAAACTGGTGTCGATTCAGTCTTAACACCCAGGTTTGTGGGGTGTAGGGAAGTGGGTGGGAGAAAGAGCTGGTGTCATGTTTCTGGGGGGTAGCTTGGCAGGACTTAACAGCCTCCTTTGAAAATGTTGATACCTGTTTCTCAGCAATTCCACATCTAAGAATTTATCTTAAGGAAATAATTAAGGTTGTTTGCAAAGATTTAGCTTCAAGGATATTTGACACAAGAGTTATTTATATAGCAAAATATTGGAGACAGCCGAAATATCCACAAAGAGGGGGCTTGTTAAATATGTGATCACACATACTGTAGCATTATGTAGCCATTAAAATAATTGTTTTTATGAAATAGTAAATTAAAACAGATTACAGTAATGTGTTCATATTAATTCCATTTTGTCTAGGTATATGAGCTTGAATCTTTCCTGAACACGCACATGCACACACAAGTCCAGAAAGAAAATCTTAAGGGATGGTTTCAGCAGAGGGTTGGGCTTATGACTAGTGTTCGTTTCCCAGGTTCATTTGCATTGATTATGATTGGAGGAGGGCTTGCTTTATTTTGGTTTTTAAAAGGTAATGGAGCTTTGTGGGCGATGGAATGAAGGAAGCACTGCCTAGCAGACTCCTCAGGGCAGGCGCCATACTGGAGAGGGAGGAGGCTAGGGGTGCGGGGGTGCTTGTTGTGAGCCATGAGCCTGGGAAAGCAGCCCGAGTGGGGAAGTTGGAGGGAGTGCCTGCGCTGAGTGGGTACCGGGCATCGATCACACTGAGTTTGATGTGTGAAGAAGCATCTGGGTGTGAACACTGTCATGTTGGCAAGGCGAGACCGACCTTGGCCTAATCAGGAGAACATAAAGGGACTGTTGCAGGCCGCTAGAAGTGAGTCTGTCTCAAATCCTCTCTCGGGTGTTAGGAATGCAAACACTGATACTGGTGGCATTCCCTGTGGGCCACGGGCAGCACCCATGGGTGGCCTGGGGGAGACATTCAGCCTGTATTTTCAGTGGAATGGTGCAGAGAAATAGCCAGAGTGTGAGGTTTTCGTCCAGTTGCTCTGTATCTTTCTTTGTTTATTGTAGTAAAGTATATAGAACATAAATCTTACCATTGTCACCATTTTTTCCAGGCTTGCTGAGAAATCAGTGACATTCAGCCCTGTACAAGGTTAGAGTTGCCTTTTTCTGGTTACCCTCACTTGGGCTTGGAGTTCAGCCCTCTGAAGGTGGGCACCCCTAGTGCCCACTGCCATCTCTCAGTGAAGGGGCAGGCATGCCCCAGGCGGGTTCACTGTGGATTCAGACAGGTGGAAAAGAGTCTTGGAGCCATCTATAGATTGGACAAGCCTTTAATGCTGAAGCAGGGAACCAGGTACAACAGGCAGACACAAGGCAGGCAGGCAGGCAGGGGAGCTGGGAGGCCTGGGAGGCAACTTAGCCTCCCAGCTCCCCACAATCCATGCCTCCCTCTGGCGTTCCCTCTCTGTCTGCATCTCTCTCTTGTCTTGTTCTCTCCCTCGCTGTTCAATCTCCTATTGTCTCGCCCCTTAGCCCAGGTGTCTGTGTGTGCCTCATGCTCGTGCTCCCAAGTGCCTCTTGCACCAATGCACTATCACACGTGGGCAATGAAAGCAGGCAGGACTGCAGATGCCAGCCGTAGAGGCCAGCAGTAGGAAGGAGAAAAAAAAAGCCAGATTTAACTCCATTTTCCCTACACTCACCCATTTACCAAAAAAGTCTAAAAGGATTCCGGTTTGCACTGACAGGCCAGTGTCCACACAGGTGGATCTGGGGAACACGCACACATCCTCGCAGCACTGTCCTGGCCTGTGTCTTCACGAGTGTCGATTTGCTAATGAAAACACCTGGACGTGCACACTTGAGCCGTGTGTAAATGCCTGTCTGTGCCAGGGTTGCTCACCTGTATAAATTAGGTCCTAACCTTAGGGACTATGGTCACAAAGATAAAATCAGCCAAAACCATCCTTATTAACTAACATCTCTATAAAGATAGATAGAGCCTTGTTGGAAATGCCATTGTTGATTTTACAGGTTAAGAGTGAAAACTTTGGATGTGTTCAAATAAGATAAAATTCCCAGTGTGTAATTGGTGCTCAGAAAGATTTAGCACTTTTGTTGAAAGCCATGAGTCTGAAAAATTCACTGAATTAATTCGCAGGTGATGGAACATCTCTTACACTCTTCACCGATTCCAGGTGCCTAGGTAGAGATGCTCTGTCCTGTGGGGAGCTCCCCGCAGAAATTGGCAGTTGGGCAAACTCACTGATGAAGACAGGCCAGTTTCTGCGTATAGTATGTATAATAGCACACAGCTCAAAGCCAGTTGTTACAATCCAGTTTCTTTACCAACCCACATTTACCTGCATTATATTGATTCTTTGATCTTATTGTCAGTGCACTTAATTTCTTTCTGCTTGGGTTTTAATAACTGGAATGATACTTGACACGTCTCTGGCCCTGGGGGCAATTGTTAGTATTAATTGGTTGGTAAAATGCCTTTTGAACTGCACAGATGAAAGGCGCATTGAAAGAGCAAGTGTTATTTGTGTTGTTGTTGTTGACCTCACTGTGTGAGTTTGGGCTACCAACCATGGTCTTTAAAGACACCGAGACCTGCATTTAAAATGTTTAAGATGTTTCCTTTCAAGACATAACGTAAGCAGATATTTAATATCCGAAAGTGAATGAGTTTCTCTCCCAAAGGGGGATTCATCTTCAATGAGAGAACTCTGGAAAAGTGAATCTTCACTTACGTACACACTTCTGGCTGGACGTGTTGACATCTCTGAGAAATTATCCAAGAAATCCTCAAGGTTCAGAATATCCAGACACAAGACTAAAGCTCATTTCAATTTGACTTCTTCCCAGCCACCTGGGTGATTTCTGCCTCTTCACTGCCAGCAGATTGATTCTGCTACTCTGTTAGTTTTAACTCCTCTTTAGACCAGTGGGTCTCAGCCTGGAGCAGTTTGCTTCCCCTGCCCCCTTACTGCCCCCAAACCCCAATACCTACCCCCCAGGGCATGTTCGTCAATGTCTGACATTTTGATTATTTATTTATTTTAGATTAATTTATTTATTTATACAAGCACTGGGTACAGTCAGAAGTGCGGGAGGGTGAGAGAATTCACCAGAGCCAGAGCAGGAAGCAGAACAGTTAGAAAGACCGAAGTACACTGCTGAGGGGAGCAGTGGGGGCAGCAGGAGAGGTCTGCGCGCCACGTGGGACCCTCACCCAGTGGCCGGGGATCGAACTGGCACTACAGAGGCTGCGGGCAGCTTTGCAACCCAGCACTCAACTGCTGCGCCACTGGGGAGGCTCTCAATATCTGACATTTTGGATGCCACAGTTTGGGGAGATGGTGCTGGCACTGGTGTCCGGAATCCAGGGATAATGCTAAATATCCTCTGATGTTCTGAACAGTACTTTTCCCCCGCTCAAAAAAAAGAATTATCTGACTGAAAATGTCAACAGTACCAAAATCAGGGAACTTGTAGATGACATTCAATGTAGAACGTCCTGCGTTCATCTTCAACAACCAAACTTTCTCGTAGGTTGGTTTACCGTTGTTAACTTCTTAATCCCTCCTGGATCTCTTTCTAGGTTGGCATTGTGGGAAGAACAGGAGCTGGAAAAAGTTCCCTCATCTCAGCCCTTTTTAGATTGTCAGAACCTGAAGGTAAAATCTGGATTGATAAGATCTTGACAACCGAAATTGGACTTCATGATTTAAGGAAGAATATGTCAATCATACCTCAGGTATTTGAGTTAGATCATTCTCACATGTTCTTTTTATAACGGCACCTAAATTTAATTGCTTTTAATTTTATTGCCTTTTTTTTTTTTTTTTTTTTTAATGAAAGGGTTGAGCCTTTTCCCTCAGTACAGCACATTTTTAACAGTAGGTATTTTAAAAAAATATCTTTATCAGATACTGGATTGGGGGTGTGTATGTGTGATTTAGTAACTTACCTAGATAGATTTCTTTTTTTAAAAATGTATTTATTTATGCAGACAATAACTGGGGTACAGGCCAGATGCGCAGGAGGGTGAGAGAATTCACCGGAGACAGAGCGGGGAACAGAACAGGCAGACTGATGAAATACACTGCTGAGGGGAGCAGCAGGCAAGATAGGAGAGGTCTGTCTCGCCATGTGGGACCCTCGCCCGGCTGGCCAGGATCGAACTGGCACTGCAGAGGCTGCAGACAGCTTCACAGCGTGTCGCTCAACCACCTGCGCCACCAGGGGAGGCCCTAGATAGATTTCTTGACTGAAACTTCCCCCAGGTGCCACAATTTTATCCACTAATGACCACATAATTCTGAGATCAAAATGATAAATGGTTTTTTATTTTCAGCGCACAAGTGGTTTCTATAGGGAAACATGGATTTTAAGTGTCTTCATGATGGAATTTTGCTGTAGGGACTAGAGCTACCTTTTCACTGGTGATTATCTCCATGGAGGGCTTTTGTGCTTTCTGGGAGACTTTAGAATCTCCTCACTGTACATGACTCTAACCAGAATGTTAACCAGGGCAATGAGCGAGATCCCGGGATACCACTGCCTTCCCTCAGTTTGCGTGTCTTTGAAGGCGACTAACAGCAGCAACTCCTAGAGCCCTCATGAGGACTGAATGGGTCCGTGTGTATGGAGAGCTGTGACCCTGAAGCTGTGACGGTCAAGGGCCAGATGACCATCTCCTCCCAGGCTCTTTCTTTTATTCTGCTTCTAAGTCGAAAGGTGACGTTCATGAGTGTTCTAGACATTGGATCATATGCTGGGTCATAATAGAAGCCCCTCTCATTCCTTGTAGTTCCTCCCTTCAGCCTAAGTTGAGACCATATTTCTGGAGTGTTTAATACCCACCTTCATGGTGTTGGCCCTGTGCCCTTGGCCCGGGGTCTGCAGCCATCAAGTTTCATTCTTCATTCTGCTCTCTGCTTTGACCACTTATGTATGGTTAACTCCAGACAGGCTAACTTTGTTTTTGTTTTTATTTTTTTATTTTTTTTGTAGAAGCATGTTTTTATTTATTTGTTTGTTTGTTTTGTTTATACATGCACTGGGTACAGTCAGAAGCGCGGGAGGGTGAGAGAATTCACCAGAGCCAGAGCGAGGAGCAGAGCAGGCAGAAGGACCGAAGTACACTGCTGAGGGCGCCATGTGGGACCCTCCTCTGGTGGCCGGGGAGCAGCCGGGGATCGAACCGGCGCTGCAGAGGCTGCGGGCAGCTTCGCAACCCAGCGCTCAACCACTGTGCCACCGGGGAGGCCCTGTTTTTGTTTTTAATTTAAGCCTTTTTTGTTTGTTCGTTATATACGCTCTACAATCATGATTATCATGGGGAACTAAGAAACACTCACTCAAGCTCTCTCCCCGGGGAGCAGCTGGGGATAGAACCGGCGCTGCAGAGGCTGTGGGCAGCTTTGCAACCCAGCGCTCAACCACTGCGCCACCGGGGAGGCCCCCACAGTTTATGTTCTGCACAACGAAAGAGGTCTGGGACTGGAGGGTGGAGGTGACTATACCGTAACATGTATGTATTGAATACCACTGACCTGTACACTTAAACATTTCAAGATGGTGCATTTTATGTTTTGTGTGTTTTGCCATCATTGAAAAATTTTTGAAGGAAAGATAATCCCTTTCCGGAAAAGTGGGGAAAGAATTTCCCTCAGCACACACCATCCCTGCACTTAAGGATTCCTTCTAGCTCTTCAGCTCCTGACTACTGTTGAAAACAGGCCTTTAAATTCCCAAGTTTCATATCTTGCTGGTCTCCATCTCTGAAATGGGCCAAAGGAGATCAGTTAGGAGAAATAATGAAAGTGTCTGTGAAGTGCTTTCATATCCCTCGATGAAAGGATCTAGAAACATGTCCTGTGTTACTTTGAATACTTCTTAATAAGAAATGGTTGTATGCTCCTGTACATAAAAGAGCTCTATAAATAAAGAAATAACGTTAGATGATTCTTGGCTCTGCCCGTGATGTTTTGGAAGCACATCTGAGCAAAGACTAAATATACTTTGACATCACTAGGTTTTGGTTCTGTTCCATAAGTTTCCACCCTACTTTTGAGCATGCTCTGTGTACCTACTCCAGAGAGTGTGCTTACAAAACAGTGCTGAGCTTTGTATCCATGTAGATAATGATCACCCACCATTGTAAACACAGAACCTGTATTTTTTTTTTTTTTTTCATTCTCTCTGTCTTTGTCTCCCAGGCTCAATGTTGGTTGATTAAAGGGAATCTGGAGACCCTACAGTGTGTCAAGTTTCCCAGGAAATCGTCCAGGAAGCTGCCAGGGCTTAGTCTTTAATATTGTCGATCCAATTTTTTTTTTTTTTTTTTAAAGATCCATTCACTTACCATACAAGAATGGGGGTCTAGGCCAGAGGTGCAGAGGGAGAGAGGATTCACCAGAGACAGAGTAGGGAACAAAACAGGCAGACTGACTGAAGTACACTGCTGATGGGAGCAGCGGGCAAGACAGGAGAGGTCTGCTGAGCCTTGTGGGTCAGCTCCCTGGCTGGGGATCGAACTCGTGCTGCAGAGGCTGAGGAAAGCTTTACAGGTTGTGCTTCACAGGTTGCGTCTTAACCCCTTGCGCCACCAGGATGGGCCTGTCATCCACTTTTTTATTCCCACTCTGCCTCTTAGGGAGTCTGTGACCTTGATGCAGTCACTAGGCTTCTAAGCTCCCGCTTCTTTGTCCTTAAAGAAGGCCTAGGTGTAGCTTCCTCCAGACTGGCCGTGGAGGTGGAGATGTAAGGGGTTGAGACAATGCCTCAGCCCAGCACTTGGTTTGTGGGAACACCTGATAAATCAGGGGTGATGGGAGATTGGGGCTCTGGCCTCTCAGGTGTTCTTGCTGCTCAAGTCAAAAAATAGTAGCCCGTTCTGGAAGGACTTTGCTCTTTCATTTCTATTTTTGTTTTTGTGGACCTTAGTGATGTTCTTTACATTTATTGCTTATAACATAAACCAAATGGTTTATATAACTTTGAAAGAGTGAAGCAAAAAAGAAAGGCACACAATGGGAGTCCTGGGGGAGGCCTTACCGAGAAATCTAGCTGACGTGTGTCCCATGAGGGACCCAGGGAGACAGTGTCTCTCTTTCTGTTTGCTGGCTCGCTTCCCACCAGGCCTCTGGCCTCATCCTCTCTCTGCACCCACTAAGACTTCATAACCCCCCATGAAGACCCCCAACCTCTTTCCTCAGCCCTCTCTACCTTCCCGGTTATTTTCCACCTCTCCCTGAGGACAGACTGGGTTTCCTCCCTGCCTCTCCTGCTTGTTGCATCACTGACAAGTGACACCAGCATTAAGGATAATTCCTCACACTGGTGGAATCCTTCACACGTTTGCAGGCTCCTTCCCTGTTGTCTCCTCCTTAATCCTCCCAGCAATTCCATTGTTATTCTTATCTGACTGATTTAAAAACTAGGTGCAGGTAGCTTAACTCACTTCACAAGGAAGTGGCAGGGCCGGGACTCTAACTTAGGGAGATTCCCAGCACTGGAGCCCGCGTGACCAGGGATTCCAGCACAGTGTTGGCAGCTCTGTGTCCTCGCTCCTCGCACACACTGTGCTCTCTGCGCTGATATTTTCTATTTGATCCCTGCTAGCCTAGTTCATAGAAAAGACAAAATGATGGTCATGAGGCACAAAATTGATTTCATGACCCATCGGTTGCACCTACAATTGAAAACCACGGCCCCTGCTGCTGGCTGCTCGCCGCTGTGAGCACCTGTTCGCCCATGTAAACGCCAGGCCAAGGGCTGCCCTGGCACATCAGCAGCCCTGCGGAGATCACCCCATTTTCCAGTCAGGAAACTAAGGCTTGGGAGGTTTAAGTGGTTGATGGGAAATCAATAATTTGCTCTGAGTCAAGACAGCTAAAAAGCAGGAGTTAAAACTTAACACTGCCTGGCCCCAGACGTCTGTGTGACGTGTGTACACAAGCGTATGTCTCTGTGAAATCTACCATGGCGATATATGTTTGCTGAACGGAATGATGTTCTTAAGTATTTTACCCATTTTCTTCCTTACTGCTCTACTCCAAAAGGGTTCTCGAAAACTCTAAGAGAAGAGATAGGTAGAGAGCAGAGGCCAAAGAGCGTTCTCCTTGGTAGGGCCTTCCCTTGGCCAGTGTGGTGGCTTGCATTATCGTGACATGAGATTGCAAAACTTAAATCACACTCCACAGGAGAAGAAATCAATGTGGAAAACAAAGGTCATGCACTCCAAGCCACGGGCGGATGCGAGCCATGGGCGGATGCTCTAAATCTTAGCGCGTGGGTCTCGGGATCTTTCCCTCTCTTGGTTCCTGGCTGCAAGGATAGAGGTCTGTCCGAGGGTGCTTGAAGTGACCTGTCCTTGCGCTAGAAAACTCTCATTCCTCTTCATCCACGTGCACAGTGTTGCTTGTGTCGTAACACCCTGATTCAGGGAACCTAGGAAGTTAATGCTGCGTCTGCAAAGGCGGGGACCCAGAACCTTTTGCTTATGTTCCCATTAAACCCCACTGGGTGAATTGGGCTGGTACCATCTCCTTGGGAGGCAGCAGCGAGCTTCCAAAGTGTTCTCTCTCTTGCAGGTTCCTCCCCATCATCCTTGACCCCCCCCTCCCCCCAAGAACAGTTCAGAATCAGGGATACTTTCTGGAACCGAGGGGACCTGCAGGAACAAAAGGGCCAGCCCTGGCAGGAACTTTCAAACACAAATACTATGTTTTCTTAACGTATTCCTCAGTCTGTGCTTGAAATTTCAGCAATAAGCAGACAGTGAAAACGCTTCCAATTAATTCCCTTATACAGAACAGTAGCTGAAATGTAAGCTTCCTTGGCACTTTCTACTCAAAATAGCTCATTGTGCTCCCCACAGAGCACACCAGCCAGAGGGGACAGTCACAAACAGCCTGCTCACCTGAAAGAAGTCTGCAGAAGGGGATTTCAAAACTTCTTTGGCTAGATCTTCTATCCCCAGAGTCCATGTGCTATTGGCAGAGTGTTTGCCAGGGAGGAGGGATTCCATGCAAATTCAGTATTTATGACTTTACCCAGGGGGCTGGCAGGCATAGATCAACAGCATCATCATCATCATCATCATCATCATCATCATCATCGTAGTCATGAAACCGATTTGCTTTTCATATTCAATAGTAGGGTTTGTTTTTTTTTTTTTTTTGCATCAAAGCAGAAGAGGAGGTATGTTTCAAACGGCCCGCTCTGCTCTTTTGGAATTTTGTTCCCTGGGTTTCCTTCAGGGGCTGGAAAGGGTTAACCAGAGCTGTCTCTTTAAGACTTCTTTTTTTTTATTACCTGGTTTTCTTTACTTTTTTTTTTTTTTTTTTCTTGCTGAGAACAAAACTCCCAGAGAAAAGAGGTGGGTATGCTGTTACTAGTAAAGAAATACAACTGGATTCTAGCCTAATGCAGTGGGGCCTTTGTTTCTGACACTGAAGTCTTCATTAAAGCCTTGGATCTGCTCCCCGCAGCTCCTGACCTTTTTGTATGGAAAGAGGACTTTACACGACTTAAATTCTTTTTCCTTTGTTGGAGAACAATGTTCTTTTCTTCTGAATATGGATGATGATCGGTTCAGTCAGAGGCTACAGGATTAAAAAAAAAAAAAAGAAAGAAAAGCAGCAGCAGCAGAAGGGAACCAAGATTTAAAGAGGCTTCAGGTGATACCCTCCTCCTTGAAATGGGGAGCCAGCTGCCCTGAATAAAGGTTCCCAGATTAGAAATGACAATGTGACTGAGGTCGCCAGGAAGAACAGCAGTAACTTCTGTTTTGGTAGAGCCCTTCCCGGTTTGGAACTGAAATGTTTCGAGCCAGGTACAGCGCTGTGCTTGCTCAGGCTGGCTTGCAACCACCTGTGCAGTTTTTTTCTCCTCCCGGGTTCTCTTTCCTGAAGGTTAGTGGGTAGGATTTTTTGCTGAAATCCTGCAACGCTCATTTTCTAGTGGCATCCACAGAAGCTCTCGTAGGAGCATAGTTTCCAGCCCTGCATTGTGGAGATGGGCTAGCCACTTACTCCAATACATTGCTTTGGCAATTTAGGGGTGGCACACTCCATAGGAACTTGTGTTACCCTAATAACAAATGAAAAAAAAAAGGGCTCTTTAGGCTGGTAGAAAGGATACAATTTAAAAAGTACGCACTTTGAACGGGATGAAAAGCAGGTCTGGAACTAATGCCCCATTAAAATAGTGCACTGTAGTACACTGAAGGAGACATTTGTTCTCTTAAGACGGGTGTGCCAGCTCGCTCTCGTTAAATAACGTTGAATCGTGTATCTTCAGAAAAAATATATTTAGCTAATAAATTGAGCACACATTTACGTGAAGGTTGTATGTCCTGTCATAAATCTCCCCACTGGAATGTCCTCCCTGGAAACCTTTTTACAACACTTTTTTTATAAGATTAGTTTATTAACTTCATTGCTGGAAGGTGGATACTTTAAATAATAATATCTATCAGAAATGATAATTAATTTGGCCCTTATCTACTCGTGCAGTATGTGTCTACCGTGAGCATTTTTATTGCCTTTTGAAGATAATATAATGGTTTCTTATTTGGCAAGTGGATGAAAGTAGAATGAGTAGAAACCAAAATGAGCACCACGCATAAAACACACTGGCATATTAGAACAGACATCGTTAACAAATTGCCTGCTGGTTTTCAAGAAAAATACGGCTTCAGTCAGTGTTTTAATAAATCATTCTTTTCATTCAACAAGTTTTGATTGAAATGTTACTCATTTTGAAATATGTATTTTGTGTGGCAGAACCACGGAAAATATCCTTACAAAATATTTTCTTCCACTTACTGCTGCTAAATACACACACAGGTAATTAAATGCCTAATAGCTCCTTGGAGACTGACAGTATAGATTTGAGTGGGGGCCCTTATTGCAGAGAAAAGGCTTAAACTTTTTTTTTCCTTTTTATGTCAACCAGCAGTGACTGGGCCATAATCAGCAAAGCCTCCTTAGAGCCTGCAGGGTAGCTGTGGTTTCTGCAGTTCAGTTAAGGTGGCTGCAGGCGTTGGCCAGGGGCTCAGGAGTGAACTAACTCTTCTTTCTGCAAAGAATCTGCTTTCATGCCCTGTCTTTGGAATTCTTCGCCCTCTTCAAGGCAAATATTTTACTAAAGAGAAGCAGTGAGGGAGGTGAAGAGAGACCCTGATTGTGAAATAGGTGACTGAGCTTTAAATAAAAATACGTTCCTGTGCCAGTCCCTTGGAAACACCAAAACTCCATTCCCAATTGCACGGGTGCCATTTGCCTTTCCAGCCCTTCATGAGGAGAAAGGTCTGTCTTTTCAAGGGAAGGCAATTTTTTTTTAGACATTAGCTGAGGTGACACTTTACTCTAGAGTGACTCTAGAGACCTAGGAAAGCCTCTTAGCAGATGTGAATTTGCTGTATGAGAGAAACCCAAAGATCTTCAGGTCCCATAAGCCATGTGGTCAGACAGAGCCCTGTGGTTAATATGAGAGACCTTCTTATTCTGCCACCCAAATCCCTTAGCCCCTTTTCTTTTATCTCTTTGCCGCCTTAAACACCTTCCTCCAGGGAGCCTCTCAGTTTGGGCCCAGAGCAACGTGCTGCCCTCACTTTCCAGCCTTCCTCCTTGGCGACTGGGATTCTGTAAACCCCATTGAAACAACAAAAGGAAAATCACCTCCTTGCACACAGGAAGGCTTGAGTTGATAGTTACAAAGAGGAAAATAAGAATTTATTTTTAAAAGCCTGAAGTAGAATTCTCCTTACAGAATTCTTACATTGTGTAGATGGCGATTTGGGTGTTTCATTTTAAATTCAGTACGTTACAGGGGGTCTTGGGGTTTTTCAGTTCCATTTTGTCATCATTTTGAAATATTGTACAATCCATGATTTTTTTTTTTCATTGCTTTTGAGATATATCAGCCACTCAAGCAACTTTGTGCAAATAAAATCCCCTTCTCAGTGCCTTTTTGTAATCTTGCAGTTTGCTTAGGAATATTTTTTGGTGCAGCCTCATCGTTCTTCTACATCCATTTCTCTCTCACCAGTTTCACCCATATGCATGACCATGTGGGTGACTCCTTGGAGGATGCTCCCTTGTGACTAGAAATAGAAAAATCTACCTTCCTTGTCTGGCTTTTGGGAAACAAAGTGGGCCATCCAGCCCCAGAGCCGGGCGAGACTTGAGGCTGGTGATTCCATGTGTGGTTCTCCGTGCCCTTGGGAAAGGCGGTGTTCTGCCTTCATTGAAAATAACCAGTTGGGCTCTTCTCTCCTGCCCACATTCTTGTGATCTCGGTTCCAAGAACCTTCCAGAAGAAAATTTAAAGGAGTCACATAAACTTAATGTACAAGTTTCTTGTAATCCACAAGGAGCCTGTACTTCAAGACTAAATCCACAGTGGCTCTCCCTTAAACAGACGAATGGGAAGAACGTAAAATAATTTTATTCTGATGCATAACCCAGTAGGTTTCAGGTTTTCCTGTCCTTGGAGTTCATGCGGTCCCGCAGGGTGTGCAACTCTGAAGTACCAGCAAGATCCTGTGGGAATTAGCAGAATCAGAGGCTATCTCTTCATGAATAGAGGTGCCCCGACCCCGTTTGTATTCTCTTTCGACAGAAATAGGATGTCCCGTTCACACGTGTGGAGAGATTCCCAGCCCTGGAAGACTTTTACCAATGGAGAAAGTATCCTAGCTTATTCTTCAGTGCAGATATGAAAATCTTTAATGGTTTTTTCTTGGGGCACAAACTTCAGGCTAATTTCAAATTGTGGGTATTTTCCAGGATTGCACTTGGGTAGACTATCAATTTATATGGCTTTCTTGATGTAAAGATCTCAAATAATTATATCCTCATTTTCCCTGTATACGCAGGTATGATCAGAAAGACATTTTTAAAAATCCAACCTCCCTTTTCAAAATGACACACCTCAACAGTTTGTTTTGTTGTTCCATGATCCAGAAGATATTTTGGAGCACGCTTTTGACACTGGAAAATTGTTAGAAATGTTGTGTTGTAGATAAGCACTTGCAAACCTTATTGTTCATGACTATGGCAAAGTTTTAAAAAGTTTTAATTCTATTCCCAAACTTAGCACTGGAATAAAATGAAAAGAGGGTATAGTAATAACATTCACTCTTTTGGGATATTTAGGAACCGGTTTTGTTCACTGGAACAATGAGGAAAAACTTGGATCCCTTCAATGAGCATACGGATGAAGAACTGTGGAATGCCTTGAAAGAGGTAATTTGTTCACGTCATGTTCTTGTTAGCATCCGTATATTGTATGTGTGCATTTCTAGCACTGCAGGTGATTGAGAAGAATGTACTGGCTTAACTGATGTCTGTTGGAGACCCAAAAGATCCCTGATAGCATGGATACATTTAAAATGTATATATGGATGATGATGAAAACCAAAAATACAAAGCCTCATGTTTTCCTTTTAACTTTCTTCCTAGTACCCAAAGCAACTAGATACATTATCTTACTTGTCCTTAGCATCCCGAAAATACAAGTCATACCTTTGGGTTCAGATTCTGCTAGTGACCTATTAACCTGCAGCAGTCATTACACACTCCTCTATTCTCAGGGACCATCCACTAAGTGGACAGAATAATGGCTTTCACTATAAACCAACAGTTAAAGGGGATCATACTACTAAAATGCTTTGAAATTTTATAAGAAAAAATTTTATAAGGAAATGCTTATAAAGGCAAATGATACAATTAGACTACTTATTGCCAACATATCATCTTAATGCTGCAGGTTGAATACAGGTAATAGAACTCTGGCACTTTTGCTGTTTTTATACTGATAGGTTCATTTCCAGAGAATTTTGTACCATTGGTGTAATGTTTCCCAGCAGACCACATCTTTGCATTTCCTTGCCTTGGTATCTAAGGATTGTGGCTGTCATGGTGCTGTTGATTTAGGTATCATATCTATATTAACAGTAATTTTTCCTCATTCTACAAATCAGTTCTAAGGTGTTTAATGGCAGGAACCATACCTAGATGTCTAAACTATCAAGAGATTTCGAATCCATCATAGGACCTGGTTCAGTCTTGCTTTTAAAAAGTCAGCACTTAATGAATACACACGGAATATCTGTTTGATCTCTTGATTTCATAGAAGTGTGGCTGGTTTTTTGTAATACACACACACACACACACACACACACACACACACACACACACACATCCTGGCTCAGAATGTTGTTGTGTTGAACCCATGTGCTTGTATCATTTTAGTATCACTCTTGTAGAGGTCATCTCTGAAATCTTTACAGATGAACTTTGTGAACAAGCAGGTTTGGAGACCTGAACAACTTCCTGCCAGGAACTCTGGTTTCCAAAGCCCTGTCAGCCCTGAGTTTCTTTACACACCCACCCCACCTCCAGCCATGGGGAGGACTTTATTCTCCTAAGGCCTGTTAACTTCACCTTCTCTTACTTAAAAGCCCTCAACCTCAGATTTCATTTTAAGCTTGTGAGGCTTTCTGTGGTGAAAGTCTAGAAGAAAAATGGTGTGAACAGTTATCCACTTGATATAAAGGGTAATCTAGCCCTTGAACACACAGGACAGATTTCATGGTGAAATTGTGACACACCGTAAAAAAAGAAGGCATTATTGGTCAACAATTTTTCTACTTGCTTCAGAACTTGAGATTTCCATTTCTCAGGTAGTAAACGTACTCTCAGAATTCACTGTTCCAATGGCAGTGGAGAAATGTTCATTGGGCGATACAGCCTATCAAAAACTATCATAGAACTTGGCCATCACTTATATTTATTTCCTCCTGTGCTGACTTTATTTGCCAAAATTAAAGTGAAATGATGTAGCTTCTTGTTACTCTAAAAATCATAAAGTTTGGGAGAGGTGGTAGACAATACTAAGAGCTACCTTTGTCTTGAACTATATTTAGAGTTTTTGGTAAACAGAAATAAACTTGAATTTATTTCATAAAGTGAAGTGCAGAGTTCCCACACATTACTCTGGTAGTGACCTCATTGCCTCTGTGGTCCCTCTTAAATATCATCTCATCATGTAGTTCTCTAGTAATTATTTCTTTATGCTATTTGTATGCTTTTAAAAAAGATTTATTTATTTATGCATACAAGAGCTGGGGTGCAAGCCAGAGATGTGGGGGGTGAGAGGACTCACCAGAGATAGAGTGGGGAGCAGAATAGGCAGACTGACTGAAATACACTGCTGAGGGGAGCAGCAGGCGAGGCAGGAGAGGTCTGCTGCACCATGTGGGTTTCTTCCTGGCCAGCTGGGGATCGAACTCGTGCTGCAGAGGCTTCAAATTGCTCCATAGTGTGGTGCTTAACCCCATGCACCACCAGGGAGGCCCAACATTCGTATGCTTTTTAATGAAAGATGTGGAAGATTTTTCTGAGAAGTAGGTACATCACTGTATTTACTGTATGATTCCAGCTGTTTTTAATCATATACAGAATCCGAAACCTGAACCTAAGAAAGGCACCAAAATATTAACTGTTTACTTGGGGATAATAAAGCAGTGAGTGGGGGTTCCCCCCTTTCTTTCTTGGGCTTTTTGGAATTCTCCAAATTTTTGCCTACTGCACTTAGATTTGTCATCTGGATGAATGAAGCTCTGCAGACTTCACAGTAAAAAAAAAGAGTATCATGTCCACTTGCTTAGGTAGGTGAAACCACGCCAGTAGGTAGGGCTCTTCTGCAGTCCATGGAATCCCCTGGCTTCCCTGGAATTTTATTCATGATATAATGGCCTTGCCTTCATCTGCAGAGACGTCACATAAAGGACTCAGCACACAACTCCAGCACCACTGCAGTTCCTTTGGAATTTTTTGTCACATATAGTCTATCTGTTGTCTCTATGGCTTTTTTTATTCTCATCCTGCCCAAACCCATACATTATAACCCATCTTGATCTTTAGTTATAGGGGACCCTGTCTCCTTCACTACTCCCTTCAAGGTGAACGGCAAACCCTGGATGGCTGGTTTATGGACAGCGACAAATCAAAGTGAAAACCCAAATTTATCAGGCCCACTAGAGCATCAATAAGAGGACAAGACTGTTTTCCCTGTTGAACAACTTCAAATAAATGGAAAAGATTAAAAGAGATTTCTTTTTTTAAAGTCCTCGTAGTTTTGGCCCCTCCTCCCTTAGAGGCGAGGGAGATAATCCCGTGGATATAGCCTATCTTGCCTTGGTTATTATTTAAAATATTCTGAAAGTTGCTTTGTCTACTGAAAAATCGTCAATGGTAAACTAAAGTTGTATCAGATGTCAGTGTTGAATGGGGCATCTACAAAGGAAGAGCAGCTCCATAAATCCCAGTAACGACTAGAGGTGAAGCAGTTTATCAGTCAAAGGTCAAAAGATCACAGTGGGTAAGTGAAAATGAATCGGTGGCATATTGTTCTGTAAGAGAAAAGCAAAATCCAGCTTTAGTACTGGATCTGCAATTAAGAGCACAGCCCATCACATCCGAAGAGTAAAGGGGCCATTCAGCTAGGCTTGGCAGAGACAGCATCGCTGCTCGGTGCCACAGTGTGTCTCATTAATCAGGAAAGCAAGACTGAGAAATGCAGCGCCGGAAAGGACATCAATAAGTCCTCGATGTTGAGACATGTTTCCATTTCTGCTGGGTCATGAATTTTGTTAAATGCCCCAACCCTCTTTACTTCATTCATGTTGAGTTTTCCTGATAAAGGCTCCTCCCACCTGCTGGTTGCATTTCAGTGTCTCTTGCTCCAGCCCACAGCCATCTTTCTCTTTGAAAAGAAAGTTCCACAAAATGTGGAAATCCTCTCACATGTTAACCTCCCGTGAGGGGCACTGATCTGGTGATACAGAACACATAGTAGCTTGCTTGGAAAATGTTTATGTGGCAGAAATGGAATATCTAGTCAGTTCAGTTTGTTCTTTTCAGTTTTGCTGAAGTACCTGAGACTGAGCTGTCTAGTTTTGAATAGTATTATTTGAGCTGTTTTTCTTAAACCATAATTTTTCAAATGCTTTTCACCTTTCAAAATAATGATGTTGTGATCTCTTGGCACCAGATAATCTTTATTAGGAATATACTTATTTTTACAGTGATATTTAGGAAGAAAGTAGAGTTTCATGTAAGATATCTATCTGCATGGGTTTATTTTCTAATTTATAGGAACAGATTATATCACAGAATGAGAGGCGCTGTGTCTTCATTCAGACAGACAGCAAAGACCATTGAGATAGACATTATTCTGGGGCTGATGCCACATCAAACGAGACCACGTCCCTACCCTCTTGCAGCTGGAATTCTCAAGGGGAAGGTGACAAGAAGCCAGTGCATGTGTAAGATAATCCTAGAACTGAGAAATGCAAAGAAGAAAAAATCAAGCAGAAGGTGAAGAGAGGCGTGCTGACAGCACTGGTGATAATAGGCAGGGTCTGCGGCTCTATTCCTTTGTATTAAGCTCTGCTGTAAATGTTACACATACTGACTCATTTTATACTCCCAACAGTGTCAGGAGGCCGACACCTTTATTATGATGATATTATAGTCTTATTTACAGGTCTGGCAGCTAAGATAGACCAAGTCAAGGAACCTGTGCCATTGGCAGAGACAGGCAGGATTCAAGCCCAAGCTATCTGGCTCCAAGACCCCAAATTTTTGATGTTTAAAGAATTTTTAAATCACAGGAAAGTCGAAGAAATAGTGTAATAGATATACCTTTTGTGCAGATTCAGTAGCCATGACTAGCTTGCTACATTTGCTTCCTCTCTCTTACAATCTATATTATGCTAAACCATTTGAAAGGAAGTCACAGAAATTTTCATTGGAAGTTGTAGTGCATCCCTGAGTAAGTATACACCTTATGTATATATAAAGGCATTCTCTCCTCCATAACATCCAACGATTGAGCTCACTCGGGAAATGTGCTAGTAATACGTGCTGTTAGCTACTGTTTCCAAGTCCTGAGTTGTCCTCATATAACCACATCTGCTGTCTCTTAGGTCTTTTTCTTGGTTCTGATTCAAATTGTTTACCCTCTTGTTCTTCTGTCATTTTCACCGACAGCCTGAGTTAGGGTTTTGCCCAATAAAATACCTCCGAAATACAGACTCAGTGAACTGAGCAACCACCTACCCATTGTAGTTTCTGATAGTCTCCAATAATTTCTTTTAACTTAGAATTTGATGAAGATAGATTCATATACACACCATCCAGCTCCATAATCTAGGAGGAATAACATACCCTGTTGGCCCATTTTTTGTGAGTTTTCATTCACTTGAAAACATGGATGAGGTCGAAGTACTCAACTGGTCTGGCAATATGGAATTCTACTTGGGCCAAGCTCCAAGTTTACTCCTCTAGGACGTGCAGTGTGCCATGGTGCGACTCTGTCTTGTTTTTTTCCCTTTAAAACCTTCCCAAATGGTAAAGTGCCAATAAGATTCTATCTCGAGAGAACCATCCCTCCTGCAGTAATTTTTCTTGACAGTGTGGAGATTATTTTATTCCCTTTCAGCAACGAATGAGACCAGAGGCTTCTCCTCATCCTTGCCAACAGTGGCTGTTGTTTTTTAGATCGTTGGCTATTGATAATTTGCTTTTCACTGACATGGTGGGTCTGTCTGTTTGTTTTGGACCAGCGGTTCTCAACTCTGAGTACATGCGGGTCTCCTGGACAGCTTTTAAATAATGCTTGAGTCCCAGCCCCAACTGATCCAACTGATTGAGTCCGTCCCTCTCCAGGCAATTCTAATGTTCAGCCATGGTTGACGGCCACTGTTTGGGACTAATTCCTACAGTATTTTGTTTTGGGTTTTTGTTTGTTGTTTTTTTGTTTTGTTTTGTTTTGTTTTTCTTCAATTTTTCCTGTAGTGTTCTAATTCCTATGCAAAATGTACTTTGGGAAACTTGCCTCAGCTGTAAAGATTCTTCTAACTACTTTCTGTTTAGATTTGGCAAAGGTAGCTGCCTTTTTTTTTTTTCTTGAAAGACTTTCTAACAAATCTTTTTGAGGGGTTCTGGTTATGTCCTGCCACAGGGATGGGGGTGGAGATGCCAAGATGATTTCTTTCCATCAACTTCATGAAGGTGTAATTTACAGGCCAGGGAACTCCCCCATTGTAAGCATGATTCAGTGATTTGGGTAAATTTATAGTTTGTACAACCATCATGAAAATCCAGTTTTAGAACATTTAAATCATCCCCAGGAGTTCCCGAGTGCCTTAAGTTAACCCCTTTGGCCCCTGGGCAATCTCTGGTCTGCTTTTTGGCTCTGTTATGAAAAATTAAGGGGCATTTTAAATTTTGTCCTATTTGTTCTTGAGAATAATTTTGTTTAGCATCCTATTTATTTCTTACTGAAATTGGCATAGCACGAACAGATAGCAAAAGAAGTATCTTGACTCCCATTAAGTTTGTGCTTTTAAGTCAGAATATTTCTGCCCTGAGAGGACTCTACCATCTTTCTCCGTGAACATTAATTGGATGTGACTGTCCCTGTCCTGTGACTATGTGCATAGGTTACTGATGTCCCCAAGGACCTCAAACTCGAATGTCTAGTGTGAGGCTTATCGGCTTCTGCAATAATTTAGGAAAGGGGCATTCTTTCCACATCCACAGGTGCAGCTTAAAGAAGCTATTGAAGATCTTCCTGGTAAAATGGACACTGAATTAGCAGAATCAGGATCGAACTTCAGTGTGGGACAGAGACAGCTGGTGTGCCTCGCCCGGGCTATCCTCAGGAAAAATCGGATATTGATTATTGATGAAGCCACAGCAAATGTGGATCCAAGGTACGGAGATGAAATCTGAATGTTATGTGGTTAATAGGAAATGTTTTATGCTGCTGAGAAATGTTGCAGAATGCTGTTTGCCTCCAGATTTATCCCTTACTAACAGTAGTCATGGAATGCAGATGAAGAAACCAAGACAAGTTATTTGGTGTGTTAAAAAGCAAAATTCACAAATGTGTAAAGCTCCAGCTGGCTTTATTGAACAATCCATGAACAGGGCAGCACCCAATCTAGATGCTGCAAGAGGTCCCACAAAATGGAGGGTATTTGTAGTTGGAAAGAGGGGGCTAAATGTTATTAGTAAAAGGTTATTTTGATAATGTCTCCTCCCCTTGGGGAAAGTGAGGGGGTTCTTATGCAATTGAGTGGTTTAGGGTCACACTTTTGGAAGAGGTTGAAGCTGCATTGAGATTAGATGTTAAGTCTGGATGGGGCTTTGGCTTGAAGGACTCCGTTTTGGGCCTGTTTTTCTATTTTTGCCTGGTGTTAATGATATTATTTGGTAGCCTACAAGAGTTAACTTACTAAATTCAACTCTTGATAGTTTCGAATAGTTTGAAGGAAAGAATATTTTCCATTGCTTTATGAAAAATGGTAGTTTTCTATGTGACTTTTTAAAATTATTTATTTATCTATTTATTTTTGTTAAAGATTTATTTATTTATACAAGCACTGGGTATAGTCAGAAGTGTGGGAGGGGGAGAGAATTCACCAGAGCCAGAGCAGGGAGCAGAGCAGGCTGAAGGACCGAAGTACACTGCTGAGGGGAGCAGCGGGCAGCAGGAGAGGTCTGCGCGCCATGTGGGACCCTCCTCCTGTGGTCGGGGAGCAGCTGGGGATTGAACCGGTGCCGCAGAGGCTGCGGGCAGCTTCGCAACCCAGCGCTCAACCGCTGCACCACCAGGGAGGCCCTCTATGTGACTTTTTTTTTTTTTTTTTTTTTTAATGTTTTATTTATTTATTTATTTGTTTGTTCATTTGTTTTGTTTATACAAGCACTGGGTACAGTCAGAAGCTCAGGAGGGTGAGAGAATTCACCAGAGCCAGAGCGGGGAGCAGAGCAGGCAGAAGGACTGAAGGACACTGCTGAGGGGAGCAGCGGGTGGCAGGAGAGGTCTGCGCACCATGTGGGACCCTCCTCCAGTGGCCGGGGAGCAGCCGGGGATCGAACCGGCGCTGCAGAGGCTGAGGGCAGCTTCGCAACCCAGCGCTCAACCACTGCGCCACCGGGGAGGCCCTATGTGACTTTTTATACGTAGTTTTCCAAGAACAAAATCATGTCTTAAAGTAATTAGATTATCAAAACATTATAAAAATATCATGATTTTTGTAAATGTCTCAAGTCTGTCTTTACTGAACCGAACACAATCTCTTGGATTCTAGGACTGATGAGTTAATACAAAAGAAGATCCGTGAGAAATTCGCCCAGTGCACTGTGCTCACCATCGCGCACCGGTTAAACACAATTATCGACAGTGACAAGATAATGGTGAGTGCTTTGCCTGTGGAACTCCACTCATTTCCACTTAGGTTCAGTTTTCGGCCTATCCTGCCTTGTAAAACTTGATACAGTCTCCATTAAGTTGGTTTTTAGTTAATTCCTCCTCTCATTCCTGACAGTAGCTCAAGTACTTAACTGCATGTTCAGGATGTGCTGGTAAATAATATATATCTGGTAGTTTCGTATTTTTATGTTAGAAATTTCTTTGCACTGCATTTTTCTTTAATAAGCCAACCACAAAAATACTCTAAATCCAAGATAAGCTTTCATACTACAGGGTGGTAGAATGCAGTGGTTTTCACTATGTTGTGATTGTTTCAGCAGTTTGGGTTCCCTTAATCTAAAGATTCTCCTTCATTTAGATGGCCAGGAGATTGTTGGGTAAGTTTGCGGCATTTCTCAGCTGTCAGGACATTAGCAAGTTGTGCTGTCCTAAGGAGTCTATGAGAAACACAGAGAGGGTGGCAGCAGAAAGGATTGAAGATAGGAGATTTGTCAGATAGGAATTGGGACACTGAAAGCAAACACTGGGGTGATTATTTTAGGAAGCAGATACCTGGCCCTAACACTCATCTCCAGATCCAGGGATTCAGTGATGATGCCCCGGCATGTCAGTTCTCAGACCTCCAAGTACAAGTCCTAGTACAGCTGGTGCTCACACTTGAGAGGGAGGGGTCACGAAGAGACTGGTTTGAGGTTGTAGGCTGATAAGAGGTAGAGGGTGAAGCCAAGCCCCACTGCTGAGATGGTCCTGGCAGGAGCAAGATGTTGGTGGCCCAGACTAAGGTGCCAGCAGCGGTGGGGTTAAGGGGTTGGGTTTAGGGTAAATCAGGAACGTAGACCCAACTCCACTGTGGGATGGATTGAATGTGGATTATGAGAGAAGAGAGGAGTCAGTGCTGCATTGTGGATCCAGACCATCTAACTCAATGGGAGACTGAGGGAGAAGTGGATTTGGAGCATCGGACAGCATGTTTTCTTTGCCATGGCTGACCCTGCTTTCTCCATGGACCTCATGCTTCATTGTGGAGCTGTTTTCCCACTCCAACTGCCATGTTGGGAGACCTCCAGGTGAGGGCTCCCCAGCCACAAAGTCATCAAATTAGCTCATGACCAAGGGGTGTACACTCTAAAAGGGGTCCTGAACTCCATGCACAAAGCCAAAGGAAGCATACCCTCAGTGTGATAGGTTTTTAATAGAATTAGTGTGCATAGAGAGAGAAGAAAAGTTACTCCTTATACACCTGAAAATTACCTATTCCTTCATGGATAAATGCCCACCCAGCCAGACAGGCTTGGTGTGAAGTGGGGCTACTGAGGTACAGAAGCCTCCCAGAAATCTAAGGTATCTTCTGGTGGGGAACCACAACAGGTGAGGCAGGTTCTAGTGAGCTAGGACATAAGAAGGAAATTCATAATTAAATATTAAGTTAAGATAATGACTGCCATTGTCTCTGGCAAGAATCAGGAGCAGACTTCCCACATGTCTTTCCTCTCTCCTCCTTGTGTCTCCTTCCATGTCTCTCCTCCAAGACCCTGGGTGCAAGTTGAAGCTGGAGAACATAGATTGCCCACCTGCCTTCCATGTTATATAGGAACATATGTAACAGCTCCAACCCTCGTTCCCAGTAGCTCCTCTGCTCAGGAAGTCTGGTTCATGGCATATTGAAACCTGTAGTCCGAGATGATTGCATCTGAGGGGAAGCAGGGAAAATGGCGTCCATTCGTTGCACTGCAGTGTTCCTCCCCTTCATGGAGATGCATTCTGTGACAGTCAGTGATGCCACAGGTGCCAGGCACACCTCCCCTAGCCTTAGAGGTAGGGCATTTTCCTCTGTGATTCATCCACCCCCAGGTCGAAATATATTTTATTCTGGAGCTTTTCTTTACCGGTTGGCTTTCATTTTGACAAAACATCATAATTAATGTTCTTTCTCAGACTTTCATTGTTGTTTTCCCTAAGGTATGTTTATTAAGGTAACTTTGGTTTACAACACTGAATATGATTTAGGGGCTGATGTTCACAGCTGTTCAGATCTATGTCACCACATCATACCCACCACCAAAGCACTCATAATCCTCCACCAGTCATTGGATCCTTTGCTCTCCACCTTCCTTCTCCCCTCTGGTAGCCTCAGTTCTGCATTATGTCAAACCTTTCATTTTTGAAACCTATACGTGCACATGCACACACACACGCGCGCGTGCATTTTTGCTTGCTTGCTTTAGAAACTCTTACTTCCTTCCCAGAAAGCAAGTGATCATTCTGTTCTTTTGAGAGCTTTAAGGACATAAAGACAAGTCAATCAGCTGAAAGCCTAATGCTCCTGGAGGCAGGCGGCCAGCCTCAGGGAGTGGCTGGGGAAGTGACGGATGCTAATGAAGGGCATAACCAACAGTGTTGTCATCATAAAGTCGTGTAATTGCAAGTGCTTAAGGTGTAATAATTACATTTTGTTGCACTGGTGAATACTTCTGCACAAAGACGGCTGGATATGGTTTTGTTTACTGTAAGTAAATCAAACAAAAGACTTGTTGGGAAACAACTGTGACCTAATTAATAGCTTTGTTTATGTGTTGGCTCTCCAAAGGGATTTACCCAGTTTTGGTTCATTAAGCGCCATTAATGGGTTAGGCTTAGAATTCTGTCTTATAAAGATGTTCTCCCCATTTCAACTTTATTAAACATGATGTAGTCATAATGACAGCTAATTTAATCTTCTTCATTTGCTCAGCTGCCACACAACAGTGGAGCAAGACAGACAAATTAGAAATCCTCTTTCTCCTAATACTCACCACTATCTCTGTGTTAAAGGCAGCTTCTTCCCTGTAGTTTTTGGAATTAGCTAGTCACTCGTGACCTGTTTTCAGCCAATCGCACAGCTCTTTCCTCCAATCCCTGCACGCACTGGTCTTTATAACCCCCTGGGAGTGATTGCCCCAGTGGCACGAGCAAGAGAAGCGTGCAAGAGAAGCGTGTGAAACTGCAGGCTCCAACACTATCGCTGGGCCTGTGCTACGTTTCCCGACCAGCAGTGTGAGAATTCCTTGGGCATGGATAATGGAACACCCAAACCAGGCCCAAAAAGCTGGGATGGTTTCACCACTTGTGTTTGCAGGCCGTCGGGGTGGTTTTCTAATTTTCGCTTTCTTCCCTAAACTCTCAGACCCCTTCGTATAGAGATTTCTCATCAAAACTAGAAACCGTTGTAATCAATCCACCTGGAAAGGGACAGAAACACCGCCAAGCTAACTATGGAGTTGCATTTAAATGCCATTTTTTACCTTCTTGGAATTTTGCTTTAATAAGCTCAACCTGGTCACAACCAGAAGCCTTCCCAAGAGAAATGTGCCTTCAAAAATAGGCCAAGAGAGTCGATTGAAGTTTTCAGAGGGACAAGTATCTGATGTGCAGGCAGGAGACGCACAGCCTGGGAGTAGTTCCCTAGAGTGGGGCTCACGTGCAGCAGCTGGAACTTCGGGAGAAGCCGCTGGTGATCGTGTGAGCGAGGCTTCTCCTTCCCTGGGGAGGAAGGGTTTTGAGTAATACCAAAAGGCATACCCGCATGGAGTCGTGCCATGGTGTCTTGCCACAGAGAAAATCAGACACACCCATTTTACCAAGGGGGAACCAACCTCCAAGATGGGGTAATCCTCTGAGCGCCCTTGGCAGCCAGAGGCCGAAGTCGGAAACTCAGAGCTGTCCCTCCCCATGGCCTGTCACGCAGTGGGGTCTCCCCCTGTTGCCATCACCCTATGGAAACCAGTTCCAAGCCTGGCGTCTCCTCCACCCTGTCCTGCCCTTCACCTCTCCTCACAGCCACCCCACGATCACCAACAGCGTCCTGCCAATTAAAATGGATTAAGTTAATTTTGCAATGGGTCCATGTCATTTTCATATCTAGGACAGCTACCTGGCCTATCTGCAGAGCCACAGCCCGGTTCACACCTCTTCGTTGGCTTATGTAACTGACTGACTCACCCAGTCTAATGTATTTTTCCTTAACCCACTAGCGAGTGGCAGTGATTTGAATAGACGCATCTGAAGGGATCCTGGGGCCACGGGACAGTGTCACACTGATTCAAACGTGCGCTTAACGCACAGCTTAACTTTGGGGAAGGTGGATGCAGAATGGGAGATTCCGGGAGGCATCTCTTGCAGATATTAAAGCCATCATCCAAAATTAATTCTACCCATTTTTCTATACAAAAAGGAAATTTGGACTTGTTGTTTGTTTATTCTCGGAAACCTAGAATCTGTGATCAAACCAGTACGTGTAAAGGCTAAGCGGGTAAGATTGTATTCCTGACTGACTTTCTTTCCAGTTCAGCTTCTGCAGCATTTGGCGTTCCTCTCGGTTCCTCTCGGTTCCTCTCTCCCCTCTCACAGTTCCTCTTGCTCTTTTCCGCTATTTGACACGCAGTTTCAGGCCTCCCTCAGCCTGGGCCCGCGGGCCTCCAAGCCACTCTCCCTGGCCCTCTAGTCCCTCTAAGTGTGCCTTAGCTGTTTCCCAGAGCCACCTTCGCTCGTCCCCACCTTGGCCTCACCTACAGCCTTACCAGACGACACCACCGGGCACTTTCCAGTCATGCCCTGAATTTAGTTTCCTTTGGATGTAAATCTCAGCTAGCATGCCCTGATGCCTGCCCCTTCTCCTGCCCCACGCCAGGCCCGGAGAGGCAAACATAATAAGGGCAACCACAAAACCCAGCCCTGGAGGCGCTGTCGGGCTTGCTTCCAGCTGTCCCTGGAAGGGACCGCTGTCCCTTCACCCTGGCCCCGTTCCTGTCCGTCCGAGTCTATCTGTTCTTCAAGGCTCTGTGGACTGCTCTTGCCTTGAAGCTCATCTTCGCACGTCTGGCCAGAGGCCATCTCTTCTGCTCACCTCCTCGTGGGGCTTGCTTTCGTGCATTATAGACACGAGTGTTTTCTTCGCTCTTATCTCTCAGATTGGCTCTCTGAAGTCAAGGGCTGTGACTTGCATATCTCCATCTCTCCCACAGCCTCTAGCGTAAATGAATGCAGCTAAGTATGCAATAAACATTTGCTGAATACATTCAGGAATTAGAGTTTAATTTCCCTCAAATGTGTTTTGGCCATGTGCCGCTTGTTCTTTATTAATCCCAAAAGTTGAATAGAGTCGGGTTTTTTCTTTTTCTGGGAGTAGATACCAGGCACAGAGTAAGTAATTTGAGCCCTGAGTATAATAAAATTAGAATGGAAAGTGGACAGGGAAAATGTTTATGTTTACAGACATTTTCTTGCGCAGTTAATGTGTTATCCACATGGAAAGGTATCTTAGAAAACAGAATGTGCCATTTCTCATGTCCCTTATTTTATTCCTGCTTGTAAACTAAAAGTTCTTTTCTGAAAACTCACCTGGGAGGAAAGAATGCAGGCTCAGACCTGGGTTTGAATCCCAGCTCTAGCACCTCCTGATTATGCAATCTCAGCCAGGTTATTGCGCCTCTCTGCACCCCAGTCCTCACCCCTGCCTCTGAGCTTCTTGAGAGACTATGTTTTGCTCAACTTGGGATCTCTCTTTGCCGCAAGAGAGTGCTGGTGATGGGTATTCAGCACTGGATGAATGGATGAGTAGGTGGGTGGATGGATGGACGGAAAGAAGGAAATTTCACACCCTGTTTGTCTACTACATCTTGAGAATTAACGATGATGACTGCAAAGCATATGACACCATGAATGCTCAACCCACAGCTACTTTTATTTTCCTTTTTCAAATTCTAAGGACTGCTGTTTTAATTATGGGGTGACCTTATTGCCGTCTCTCGAGCCTTGTGACTTCATTTGGGGCTGTAATAATGAAGTTCATTTAAGATCCTATATTTTGTTTTAATGCATATCAAAAGAGTATGAAAGAGGCGTGTTGTATTTCACATTTTTAAAGTGTTACCTTACAGAAGTTAAAATTTAAATTTTTTTTTTTTTTTTTAGATTTATTTATTTATTTATACATGCACTGGGTACAGTCAGAAGCGCGGGAGGGGGAGAGAATTCACCAGAGCCAGAGCGCGGAGCAGAGCAGGCAGAAGGACCGAAGCACACTGCTGAGGGGAGCAGCAGGTGGCAGGAGAGATCTGCGCGCCATGTGGGACCCTCCTCCGGTGGCCGGGGAACAGCTGGGGATCGAACCGGCACTGCAGAGGCTGTGGGCAGCTTCGCAACCCAGCGCTCAACCGCTGCGCCACGGGGGAGGCCCAACATTTAAATTCTAATGATATAAAACATTGTAACAATTTTTCCAGCTCCATCACACCCCCTCCCCCAAGTTGAGAACTCCCCTTAAAAAATATAACACACAGCCCAATAAATTGCTAATGCTTTCAAGGCTCAGAATATTTGACAAGGTGATATTTCTGCCATTTATGTTGTGATCCTATTGCTTTTTTGAGAGCGTTCCTTTCGTTCTGGCTCTGCCTTTTTAGATATCAGTCAGTTCTGAGAATTATTTGTCTCTGGCATTTGTGTTTTCTGATAATAACGAGAAAATAGAAAGATTTACTGTTCACTCACGTTTGAATAAAACAGAAAGTTGGGGGCCTCCCCTGGTGGCGCAGCGGTTGAGCGCTGGGCTGCGAAGCTGCCCGCAGCCTCAGCAGCGCCAGTTCGATCCCCGGCTGCTCCCCGGCCACCGGGCGAGGGTCCCACATGGCGCACAGACCTCTCCTGCCGCCCGCTGCTCCCCTCAGCGGTGTATTTTGTCAGTCTGCCTGTTCTGCTCTCTGCTCTGGCTCTGGTGAATTCTCTCACCCTCCCACGCTTCTGACTGAACCCAGTGCTTGTATGAATAAATAAATAAATCTTAAAAAAAAAAAACCAGAAAGTTGGACAAGAACAAGAGGTTAATAACACTTTCTATTAAAATTATGTGACGTCTCTATAGTCAAAGAACCCACCTTTTCCCAACTCTGAAGTGGTGACTTTTAAAGGTTTACTTGTTGTTTTTTGCAGATATAAAGTTTTTTATTGTAAGAAGTAATTTGATTCACTTATTTACTTAGTCTTTAGCATAAGGGAGACCTGTACTTTAAAAGTGCACTTTTTCTTCTTTTTTACTGTCAGGAGAGTTGACTGTGCTGTATAATGCTATGCTTAAGTAAAATTACACATTCAGGACATCCAAATTGGCATGCCAAATTATAGGACATTTTAATTATTATGTCGATCTGACAGATTCAATTATTCTTGAACTCTTTTGAGAAAGCTGCCCTGAACAGCAATTCACAGTCGTAAACAAAAGATTAACAGGAGAAAATACCCTTTATGAGACTGAATAAATGTTTCTGAATAAATACCAAGGAGCTGAATTGACTGCAATACCCCCAATGTGGAAAAACAACCTGTGTCCCGCTTAGAGTCTCAGCCTATTCTCTTAAAATAAATTGGCTCTAAATATGACCTCACTGAAGATCTGAGTACAACTAAACATCGGGACTGGTTTCCTGGGCACGTCATTTGGGCCAGTTGTTTCAGATTTTCCCTCTGCCTCCCCATTGCCAGTATTAATGAGCAGTGAAATGGCTAAAAGGGAGGCAGCTAAGGAAAGAGAAAGAGGGAGCGAGGGAAGATGGTCTTGAAAACATACTCTGATCCTCGGCCACTCCCATGTGGCTGCCCCAAGCATCCTACCATCTCTGGAATTTCGAGCTCACATTCTTTTTTTTCTTTTTTTTTTTTAAGATTTATTTATTTATGCATACAAGAGCTGGGGTACAGGCCAGAGGTGTGGAAGGTGAGAGGATTCACCAGAGATAGAGTGGGGAACAGAACAGACAGACTGACAAAATATACTGCTGAGGGGAGCAGCAGGTGAGACAGGAAAGGTCTGCTGCATCATGTGGGTAGCTCCCTGGCCGGGGATTGAACTCATGCTGCAGAGGCTGCGGATAGCTTCATAGGTTGCTTTTTAACCCCTTGAGCCACCAGAGAGGTCCTCGAGCTCATGTTCTTAATTGCTCCTTTGGTCTTATCCAAAGAGAAAATTGGATTTCTAGAGATTTCTTCATTGCGGAGCAATTACACTGAAACTGCCTAGGTAGCAGCTCTTTGCCCCAGGTTTCTCTCCCAGAATCATCAGCTGTGGCGACCTGAGCCAGTTTCCAGACCAGGGACCTGTCTCCTCATGCGAGGTGACTTATTCCAGGACCCTAAATACATTCCCAGAGCATCAGCCCTTTTCCAGATACTGCTCAGGCTCTCTCAAACCAGCACAGCCATGAACTTGCTGTCGCCAGGTCACTGTGATCTAGTTTGTATGACTTGTTCACCAGAATTTTTCCATAAATTGAGTTTAATTTTCTTACATTAAGAATTATCTGGATCGGGCTTCCCTGGTGGTGCAGCGTTTGAGTGCTGGGCTGCAAATCTGCCTGCAGCCTCTGCAGCACCGGTTCATTCCCCAGCCACCAGTGAGGGTCCCGCATGGCGCGCAGACCTCTCCTGCCGCACCCACTGCTCCCCTCCGCAGTGTACTTCAGTCCTTCTGCCTGCTCTGCTCCCTGCTCTGGCTCTGGTGAATTCTCTCACCCTCCGCGCTTCTGACTGTACCCAGTGCTTGTATAAATAAATAAGTAAATCTTAAAAAAATTTTATCTGGATCTAAATGTATGTATAAGTCGCCCTCAAAGCTCAGAGGCTGAGAGCTAAAAGCACTAACTAATGATCACAGCCCAAAATGCCTCTGGCGGAATATAAAATGCCGAAGGACTGCTGAGTCCCCGTAATAATAGTCTAAAACTTTCATTTTCTTCCTTCCCTATAACATTATAATAATAAAAGGTCGGGATAGGTCTTTGTCTGCCTAGTCAAACAGGGTAATCAAACCATTTAAACACCAGCCAGGCCTTGCCACCCAAATAGATCCTCGCTATTCTCCCTCTCCCACCCCTTTCCGAAATATTGTCTGAGTTATAATATGTTCCTGCAAAACATTGTGTGCTAATGGGTTTCATTCTGCTGATTAACAGGTTTTGGATTCAGGAAGACTGAAAGAATATGATGAGCCATATATTTTGCTGCAAAATCAAGAGAGCCTATTTTACAAGATGGTGCAACAGCTGGGCAAGGCCGAAGCGGCCGCCCTCCTTGAAACAGCAAAACAGGTGAGTGCGCTGGCAGGGGCTGTAATTAACACTGGTCTCTACTGCGCACCCCTCACGGTCTGGCACCGGGAGGGTAGTAACAAGCACCCTGGATCCTTTTCAATTACAAGCCTCCAGAGACAACTTCGGGACCGGCGCTTAACCACACGTCCCAGATCGAAGGCAGTTCTGCTAGAATCAGCAGAAGGGGTGGGACGTGTGCCCGCACAGGTGTGCAAACAGGTGTGCCACGGGCAGAGAGGGTGACACACTTTCCACACCTGGGGCCCCGGGTTCAGGTCCTCATGCAGCTCAGAGCACTCCTGTTTGGCAGGCCTGCATGTTGCAGATGCAAACGGGAGTGAGGTACATCTGGGCCACCTGAGAGTTTGCAGGAGGGGAAGGGGGCGTGTCACTCATGGAGTCTAGAATGATCTACCAGACCAAGGTGCACGTGGCTTGTTTTCTTTCTGCACACACTCTCACTTTCTCCCCAGATTTCCCCCTAGCCCTTTCTTTTTTAGAATTAGGGCCAGTTACCCTCTCGTCTCACGATCCCCCGCCCTCTTTTTTGCTCCCTCTCCCTTCTAGTAGGTGAAATGGTCATCAAGACAGAATCTAGAATTTACAGCCCCTTAATGCAATATTCTGAAAGAAGGTCACAGAGCCTGTTGGCAGAGGCTCAGGCATTTGGTGAGTTAGTAGCTTGCATGCTCTCTGTCCACGTCAGCGCCCAGGAGCATCTTCCATAGCTAGCTTGACTCAGGTTTGCGTTAAGAAGAGACTTGACCATGTCATGCAGCCACCTCTAGCTCTTTTGGAACAAGGTGAAAGTTTGCTTAGTGGAAGGATGGAGGGAAGAAGAGAGGAACGCGTCTGCCCACTCCCCATCAAAACCATTTATCTGTGGGCATTGTCACGATGGGTGTGTTTTTTCCTTCTGCAGACATTGCTGAATTTCCCTGATTCTCACTGAAAATAGCGACAAGTCACGTATGCAGCATTTAAAGCATCTATTAAAGACAGCAGTGTAGGAAACATGTCCAGTGTCTAACAGTCTTGTATGAAAGATTTAGCTAAAACATGCCTTGTTCTCCTCCATCGGTGTTTCTTGGAATCCTCAGGATGGTTCAGGCAATAGGTGTGTGTGCGTGTGCACAGTTTTAGACGTGTGACCCGCACGCGCCAGTCATCCATGGTACGGACTCAGAGTTGGGGTGAGCGGAGTTCTCGGCTTGTTGGCTGAGCAGAGATGAGGGAGGAGCAGGTGCTTTGACCCCAGGTGCCAGACCCTGTCCTGTCTCTTACCATCGGCCTGTTTAAGAGGCCGAGACTTTAAGAAGGAAGGAAATTGCACAGCTAGCCAAGTAGTGGCTAGAGTTGAATTCCAACCTGGGCTTAAAACTGGTGAAGCCTGTGTGCTAAACCCTTCAGAACACTGCGCGTGAGTGAGGAAGCACAACTTCTTTTTCTGTCCGAAATGTACTAGGTGCTTTCATCTGCTAGGGTGTCTCCAGTCAAAGCTTCCCTCATAAGACCCAATCAATCATTTGGGATTCCCTGTCTAATCTAGTCACAGAACAGCCAGGAATCTCGCAAACCCTTTCATTGTTTGACCTCAGGCAATTCACATCAAAGAGATGTGTCCCCACCTACTCGTCAAAGTCTCCATGTAAAAAAATGCATGAGCATTATATATTATCAGGGCGTTGGGTTTAAATAGCACCAGATCACATCAGATACCCCGCGCCCTCATTTTATAGATGAAGAAACTAAGACCCTCAAGAAACTAAGACCCTCTACCTATAACCAGTGTTCTGCCAGTTTGTAGCGCAGAACAAGAACTCTGTTCTTAGATCGCAGCATCAGAAAACTCAGGATTCCCGATGCAGTCATCTTGCACCGAACTTAGTATTTAATGGCAATTGCATTTCTGTATTTCTTTTTAGTTCAAACAGTGTGCATGGTTCTTGCAAGTAGGAGTTCACTTCCTCTTCCTGGTGATTTGCTTTTTCCCATTTCATGGATAAGGAGGTACATCAGGGTCAAGGGCTGGCCTGAGCTCACACAACTGGTCAGTGCAGAGCAGAAGGTAGACTGCTGGGTGAGGCTGAGCGCCACCCTAAGGACTGCATTTACTGCCCTTCACCTGTGGTTTCCAAGATGGGGCCAAATCCATGTTCAAACGGTGGCAGAGCAGGACTCTTGGATTCAACACTGCTTAACTTGGGCCACTTCCACGGAAAAGTATACAGACATACATGTCTTGATTCTCATCCAGATAAATGGATTTTATCTTCACGTTTCTGCTAATACTTGGTCCTCTTAGGGGAACGAGCTGTCAGACTGTCACTTTTTATTTATTTATTTTTTAAGATTTATTTATTTATACATCCAAGAACTGGGGTACAGGCCAGAGGTGTGAGGGGTGAGAGGATTCACCAGAGACAAAGTGCGGAATAGAACAGGCATGCGGACTGAAACACACTGCTGAGGGGAGCATCTGGCAAGACAAGAGAGGTCTGCTCGCTGCGCCATGTGGGTCACCTCCCTGGCTGGGGATTGAACTTGTGTTGCAATGGCTGCGGATAGCTTCGTAGGTTGCGTCTTAGCCCCTTGCACCACCAGGGAGGCCCCACACTGTCACTTTTTAAAGGTGCAAGCATCAAAAAAAAAATATGCATCATTCAGAACTGTAACACCAGGAGGATTCGTGTAAGTCAACACAGTATTTATATTAGCGGATTAGAATTCGCAGCTTCTCAAGAATATTCTACATTGGGGAAAGCTGCTTCCCAGTCACACTTTCTAGACCACATAGGTGCTTTTCTGGAAATGTTGGCTCAGGCGAGCTGAATCTCTGGCTGATTCACCTTTCCTGGATGATCCATGAAAGGGTAGAGAATGCTAGAGCAATAGAGCTGAAGGGGGCATTAGTTTCCTCGGGCTGCCCTCACAGAGAATCACAGAATAGGAGGCATGAACAACAGCAATGTCCTTCCTCATCCTTGTGCAGCTGGAATTCTGAGATCAAGATGAGGACAGCGATGGTTCCTCTGAGGCTTCTCCTTGGCTACTTGGGGCTAACGGCTCCATGTCCTCACATAGTCTTCCCTCTGGTTGTGTCGATGTCTTATAAGGACACCAATCAGATTAGATTAGGGCTCACCCAGAGGGCTTCATTTTAACGAATTGACACTCTCCCCAAACACGATTACATTCTGAGATTCTGTACATTTTGCAGGGACACAGTTCACCCCATTTGTGCTGTCATGGTGAAGCAGACCTCACTAAAGTTTTTCCTGAGGTCCTTTTGTTCTCAGTGTGTGATGTAACAGGGGTGCCATTTGATCTGTTCACCAGCTACACCCCTAAAGTTATGAAATCCTGATATCCTGGATGTAGGGACCTGAGCCGGTGTGAATAGGGTAGACGCACACAGCAGCCACATACATGGTCTCACACATCCCCAAGGGCCTCAGCCTCAGGGTCCTCGCCGTCCGAGGAGGGCCACATGCTGCCCGGCTGCTGCTCAGTCCTCACGGGGGTCAGAGGAGGCAGAGCGTGTGCAAAGGCTTTAAAGAAAGACAGAGCATTTTACAACTATAAGTAGATCCTACCTGTTGATGATAAAAGTTGGATCATTTTATCGAAGTCTGTAGATTGAGTCCTTATGTCCCAATAATAACCACGGAAACACCCAACGTTCCTCTGAGTGGCTTTAGAAATTCTAATTAAAGCTGCTTTTTTGTAAACATTTTTTTGACGGATGATATGTGTTAATGCAGTGAAATCCTAAAACCCTCACAGTTTGTTTTTCAATCTGTAAATAAAACGGAAGTCACTCCTGTCACTACATGACCCAACCCCCAAATGGCTCCCCGGTACCATTTTCGGCTGTTCTGCTGGTACTTTCTGTGTATCAAGTGCTCTTGAATTTATAGTGTTTCTGGTTTTTAAGCTCAGATAATAACTGTTCCTTACTTTTTTCATTTAATGTAATGCCTCAGATTATATCGGTAGATATGGTTAACTCATTCTTTGTAGGAAATCTATGCTTTCTCTACTCTCAATCTCCATTTTCCCCTTCCAATTAGCTATCATAATCTTCTGTTTAACCCCAAAAAGAATCAACTCTGGGCCTTCCTGGTGGTGCAGGCAGTTGAGCGCAGTGCTATGAAGCTGTCTGTAGCCTCTGCAGCGCAGGTTCAATCCCAGCTGGTTACCCACATGGCGTGGCAGACCTTTCCGGTCGCGCCTGCTGCTCCCCTGAGCAGTGTATTTTGGTCAGTCTGCCTGTTCTGTTCCCCACTTTCTCTCTGAGTCCTCTCGCCCTCCTGAGCATGTGGCCTGTACCCTGGTTCTTGTATGAGTAAATAAATAAATCTTTAAAAAAAAAAAAAATCAACTCCTAGACAACTTGTTCTTGTATGCTCTTTCATAATTGATGGCTTTCTGCTTTTATCTTCATTAATTCCTTCCTTCCTTTGTTTATTTTGATGTGGTTTCTTGTTGAATGTACTTGTTTTCATTCCTTTTTATTAATATAAATAATTTAAGGCTGTGAACTTTGCTCTGAATCCTGTCCCAGAAAAGGTGAAAGCAGGAGACTCCATCTACATTTTCAATTGTCTTAGTAGTCTTCTCCTCTAAGCTTCACAACCATTCACATTCTTCTTGCTTTTGACACACGGAGAAGCTGAATCCCTTCCCCGAGTCACTAGTTAGTATGTGGCGGTGTTCCGACTTCCCTAATCTTTTAACTACCTTCCTGCCTTTCTGTTTGCCCTTATCACTAAATTAGAGGTGACTCAGCCAGGACTCTGGGGTTTTATAAAGAAAAATCAAAAGATCCACAAAAGGGTCTCCCAGCTGTTTTGTTTACATCATTTAAGCCGGCTGATGCTGCTATTTTCTGTGGACTAAGGGGCCACTTCACCGAGCTTTCAGCATCACACCCAGCACTTAGCCCGGTGTGTTCGCACCCTGCATACACAGCCATTAATTAGTTCCTATGAGGTAAAGCCACTGTTGTCTCATTTCACACTCGATCAACAGCAAGGCCTGGGAGGAGAGCTGTGGGCCTGGACTGCACTGCCCCACGCTTGGCCCAACACACGGGAGCCCCATGTATCTCCAACGTCTCCCTAACCTGCACTGGGAGAAAGACGCCTTCTCTCTCCCTTCTGCTCTTAGGCAGAATGTATTATAATGGCAACAGGGGAGAAAAAGTAAGGTCAGACCAAGGACTTTATACCCAGGAAGCTCATTTTCACTATTCACTTTCAAGTATCTCGGGCCATGAAGCCAAGGCCATTCAGTTAAAAGCTGCTAATAATAATAATTTTTAAAAATTGCATTGAGAGAATTATGGTGAATATGAGCTGCTTTGGGGAGGGCCATCAAGCAATAAGATATGAAGTGTGTTCCTATCTGTTCTTTTGGCCATTTTTACTTTCATCAGGAAAAGATTTTTTTTAATATGTAAATATCTAACTACACAAAATCTGGCTAACAAAAAATAATTTAAGGTGAGAGATAATATGAAATTATCCTCCCTTTAAGATCCTATTTAAAACTCTTGCATTATAATAGAAATAGCCTCACATGTCACCTGGAAGGGCCCAGGCATTATTAGAGAATTAATTTTTCTCCTTAAACTCAGTGACATATTAATACCTAGTATTTTTAAGTAATTATTTTTTAGAGTAGCAGGAACACAAGTGGCAAGAGAAAAAGCTCGTGCGCTTAATATGAAGCGCTTTTCTTTCTCGTCCGTGAAGTCCATTGTCTCCTACGATGACTTTCTTGACAGCGCCCACAAATGTATTTGGAACCCCGTTTTATATAATGGATCCGGAATCATCTAAAAGACCCAGCTCATGACACATGTCAGCCTCAGACAGATGGTACATTTTCTGTTTTAAAGACTCAAACAAAACTTTTCACATGCTTCTTTGGGGGAAAAAATTATATTGAAGTCCTTTTTTCACCCAAACACATTTTGAGATAAGAGCTCGCAAGTCCTGACATTATTTCATTTTGTTATGCGCATCTGTCAAGGAACCAAGATACGATACAGCTACTAAAAACTGATGATTGTGGAACAGAGAAACTTGACAGCATTTCATTTCCTTTATGTTCTGATTATACATTTATCAGGAAACCTGTATCTCTTCTAGTTCAGCTAGAAATTGGTAGAATTCAGGAACTCAAAGGCTTGGCAAAGAACGGTCCTATTATTTGGTATCAGCTTACATTTTTAGAGAAGTTGCTTGGTTGAGTCATTGTTAAAGCTTTTGCTTCTCTTTTCATTATTGTGGCCCAGTATCCACAGATCACATTTCTATGGGCCCTATAACTGCTTTGCCGCACAAATTAAATGCCAGGATATTTCATACCCATACACCCGCGTCTCAATGCTTGTCAATCAGAGTTTATAAAATATAGGGATTACAACCTGATATTAACATCCAAACCCATTGTGTTCATTTTATGTGTGAAAATGAGAAACCCCCATGCAGACACTAGATTTCTCTGCCTCTTTGTGCCCTGTTTTTAATTTATCTCCAGGTTTTTGAGTCAGTAAAAATGATTCTGCTTGTCAATGTAATGTAGTGATAAAACACACCTATGAATCAGAATGATCAGAACTGAAGTGAATCTACAGGTTGCTCAGCATTCAGGCCCAGCCCTGCTGAGGGTTTTCATAGGGCTCCTTTCTCTGTAGTGTAAAGAGACCCATGTTTTTTGCTTGTTTTTATTTAATTTTTTTAAAGATTTTTATTTTTATTTGTTATTTATGCATACAAGAACTGGGGCACAGGCCAGAGGTGGGGGTGGTGGTGAAAGGATTCACTAGAGACAGAGTGGGGAACAGAACACGCAGATCTACTGAAATACAGGTCTGCTCCCTGGCCAGGAATCGAACTCATGCTGCAGTGGCTGCAGATAGCTTCATAGTACTGAGACTTAACCCCTTGTACCACCAGGGAGGCCCCCTGTTTGTTTTTAAATGTGCCTCAACCCATGGTATAATGTGCCTCACACGAGGAAGTAGTCATAGAAATGCATTGTCTTGGACACAAGGACTTTAAAACTCTCAAACAGTCCCTTTATGCCTGTTTTTTTTTTTTCTTTGCCTTTTTTTTTTTTTACAGGTGTACTTCAAAAGGAATTATCCAGATATTACTCACAATGGCCACGTGCTCATGAACACTTCCAACGGACAACCCTCAGCCTTAACCATATTCGAGACAGCACTGTGATTCTTCCACAATGTCAAGTCTATTCCGAAGGCGTTTTTCTGGTAGTTTTTGCACTATGTAAACAATGTACTTTTTTTAAAAAATCTAGCCACAAATATTTACACATACAAGATGTTAGTTTATTTGGATTATTCTTCACCTGGTTTTCAGCTCTCACAAAATGATTTCTTATTTTTATTTAAATGTTAGAGTATGTGTTTTTCTTATCCAAATCAGAGGTGCAGGCCACCCAGAAAAACTGTTGACCAGGTTTTGTGCCTTAAGAGAATCTAGAGCCAAAGCTCATTTTGTAAAGGTATAAAACAAAGTTGTCACGGATATTTTTTTTCTCTTACTTTTCCCCAGATTACATGTTACTTTCCAATTATATCAGGGATTCTATTTACTTGAAGTCTGTGTGAAGTTGCCATTTTGTGTCACTACTTTCTTTAACAGAACTAGGAACTATTATTTTCCCCAAAGGCTGCTGGTTAAAATAGTACCGATAACACTCATTGGAAAAACCAAAAATAGACTTTAAGTGATATTATTGGAGGAGAGAAAGTCTATACTGTTCCTCAAAATAAAAGACATGGTTAAAATATAAAGGGATGATATTGAAACATCTGAAAGAGAAGGAAAATGATGCTGTCTCAAAGTAGGAGCCCTTATTCATGATTTGATGATGAAGGCACGGCTGTGACCATCCATTGTCTTTTAGATTTGCATGGTTCTGACATGGTAACAGTTGCAGTTACCTCAGCACGGTAATATGTTCAAAGAAGACCAAACCACCAACCGTAATTCTTGAAATAAGTGATAGTGTTTTTACTTGGATTTCTGGCTTGCTGACGGTGAACCTTTTGTTGACCCTCAGCCTTTTGGTTTAGCCTTTATTGAAATCCTTGCTAAATTGCATGGACAAGCTCTCCCACTGGTGGCAAAACTGCAAATAATAGCAAACATTGACTGCAATTTTGCAGTTTGTTTTCAGAGTGCATCCACAGGTTCATTATCATGACACTGCCCAGGTTAGATCACCTCTGTCCACTCAGAGTAGTTTCTGTAGGTCTTTCTCATGAATCAGCAACCCACAGTCATTTCCAGGGCCTGCTCTGCTTTATTTGAACTATGGGTCTTCAGTTGCTCTTGATGGTGGTGGTTCAGGTATGTTGAGTTGAAGTTGTTAAGGGTTTTTTACTGTCACAGTTTTGAAAGGATTTTCATGACCACTCAGAATAAGGTATAGATTCTTGCATCCCCCCACCCCCATTACCTCCTGGAGCAGAAACTCTGTGGTCACCTTCAAATTGCATATGTTATATGCCTTCCTATAGCCGAGTGCTTGACTCTTCAATAGAGAGCAAGAGATGTTTCATAGAATCAAGCCTTAAAATGCACAAACACAACAAACTACCAAAATACATTAAGTGCAATAGCCGTCTACTCTGTGTTTAGAAGTGATATGGTTAATGTTTAGTCCAATTAGTAAGTAGTTTAATAATGAAGTTGTAGTTGGTATTTCAAGGGTGTGACATGAAGCAATGATAATAATGAGGTTTGTGGAAACAGTGGAAATATTTGAAATGTGTATGTGTTTATTTGGTCTTTAGCTGTTAAGGGAAGTTAAATAAACATGTTTCTATTTTATTTCTGTTTTAATGTCATTGTAGAATTTTTTAAGGAAAGGACATTGAGTTGAAATAAATGACAGTTTTCATCTTTATTCAGCAAATCTGTGTTTTTGTTCTTAGAGGGATTACTGACTCAGTCTTTAATGAGTTTTTCTGAGATCAAAAAACAATCTTTCTGTTATCAGCTGATTCTCTTGGCTAACGAAGTCTACCAAATCAGCAGGTAGCTGGATTTCAGAGAGGTGTCCACATCTGGCAGGGTTTGAAACCGTTGTTATTGAAGCAAGCTGGTTGCAACCCTTCCAGAGAGGCAGAGAATCAGCTGATGCCCCAGGCTTAAACAATATTAAATCATGAGGTTTTTTTAAACGTTTCTTTGCTCTAAATGAACAAGAAACATCAGTTGCTACTGGATATAAAACACTACAGAACATTGGTTCTCAAAGTGTGGTCCATGGACCAGAGGCATCAGCATCACTTGGGAACTCATTAGAAATGTAGATTTGTGCATCCCACCCTTTACCTCCTGGAGCAGAAATTCTGTGGTCAGGACCAGTAGTCTGTGTCTCACCAGCCCTGAGGCAGATTCTGATGCTGACTCAAGTCTGAGAACAAGTACCACAGAACACAAAAGAACTCCTAAAACACATTAAGAAAAGCATAGAAAGCCCAATTAGAGAAATGGACAAGAGACCTGAATAGGTGCTTCACAGCAGAGACTGTCCAAATGGCCTATAACTGGAGAAGTACTCGCTCTTGTTAGTTACTAGGGAAATGCAAATTAAAACTACAAGGAGACATCATGAAACACCTAGAATGACTAGAGATGGAGAGCACCAGTCAAGCCCACAGAGCCCTGGGAATGTGCATGCCCTGCTGTGTGTTTGAAGAGCGTATTTGAAAATACCACTTTGGAAAACAATTTGACAGCCCCTCCCCAAGCTGCACACCCTGTGATCCAGTCATTCCACACCCAGGACACACACATGTGCTCCCAGCGAAGTGTCTCAAGGATGTTCGTAGAAACACAATTCCTGACGCCCCACCCAAACTGGAAATAATCCATACACTCCTCAGCAGCAAAAATAAAATGAACTGTGATCTAATAAAATACTGTACAGTGGTGAGAGCTAGAAAACGACACCACCACAGGTGAACCTCACAAGCATAAGAAACTTCACCCAGGAGAACATTTATACACTGTTCAAATGTGGCCACGACTGTGGTCTTCAAAGTCCAAATAGTGCTACGTTTTGGGCAGGTGGAAGGTGTTGGTAATTGGGAGAATAAAGAGGAGCTTCTAAGATGCTCCAGTTCGGGAGGAAAGGGCTGATAGCAGTGAGATCAGTATTAATTGAGCTTTGTTTTCTGTGCTTTTCTATTCCATGTCGTATCCTCCACAGATAAAGGGGAGACTATGGTGTTGTCTTAAGTGACATTTTAGATAGTCTGTTTTTTTTACCAAACCATGAGTGTCTGACTATCTGAACTGTGTGACCTATTCATTTTTTTGATTACATGCTGTAAACCAGACTTATTCACCAAGTGTTCAATAAATGCAAGTGAATGAAATGAATAATGATCATGAACAAATTTCCTTCTAAACTTTGAAACTTTAAGAGATAGCCTGTGGGCCTCCCTGGTGGTGCAAGGGGTTAAGATGCAACCTATGAAGCAATCTGCAGCCACTCCAGCATGAGTTTGATCCCCGGACAGGGAGATACCCACATGGCGCAGCAGACCTCTCCTGACTCACCCGCTGCTCCCCTCAGCAATGTATTTCAGTCAGTCTGCCTGTTCTGTTCCCCGCTCTGTCTCTGGTGAACCCTCTCACCCCCCACAACTCTGGCCTGTACCCCAGTTCTCATCTGCATAAATAAATAAATCTTAAAAATAAAAAAGATAGCCTGTGATAGTAAAAACCCTGATTTTGTAGTTGGTCACACAGATTTGCATGCCAGTTCTGCCTCTGCCACTCACTAGCAATATAGGGTGACCCCCAAAAATTTATTGTCCACAGTGGGACATCTGAGAGAGAAAGGAAAGTGCTAACTGGTCAAGGTGTCAGGGCAATCACCTGGCACCAACCTTGACAAGAATGGGCTATAGTCACCTGATCATCACAGTCTTAGTTCCGAGCTTGGGCAACATTTCAACCTCTCTGAAACTCATCCGTATCTTTATAATGAACATAATTTTCCTGCTCTTGCACAATTGCTTTGATTGTGAAGATTGGTGGGTCAAGATTATCACAGGAAATGGGAAGGATAGATTTCTTGACCTTGGATGGAAAGAGAGTCCCCTCATTCACCAGGAGAGGAGAACAGGATAGTGGTTGAAGGTAGGTTTGTAGACCACAGAAGGGGTATTTGAGGGCTTCCTTATGTGATGGCTGAGATCAAACAATCCCTCCTTCATATTTGGCTGATACGAAGCAAGCATAAGGGGAGGACCACATGCTCCAGAGATGTCTTCTAGGCCCAGAGCTGGGCTCCTCTGCATACTGGGTGTCTGGGTTTGGTATGCGTTCTACTGCCTCCTCATTGTAGGCTCCTGTGTGGAGAAGCACACATGTGCTACTACTCCTTTATAAAACTGAGGTGGGCTCCTGCCGCCCTCTGCTCCCCTCAGCAGTGTATTTTGGTCCTTCTGCCTGCTCTGCTCCCTGCTCTGGCTCTGGTGAGTTCTCTCACCCTCCCGTACTTCTGACTGTACCCAGTGCTTGTATTAATAAATAAATAAATCTTAAAAAAAAAAAAAAAAAACTGAGGTGGGGATAGTAATGTTCTTAGAGGGCTGTTGCAAAGATTAGATATGACAGTAACATTCATAGCATGGTCTGTGGGCCAGTGTCAGTGCCAGCTGTTATTAACTTGGGACTTCAAGAAATCTGGGAACTTCTTAGCCATTTGACATTGCCAGGACATCCAGACTTGGGGTCCGTGGACTGTTGTTAGTGGCCTAGAGACTAGTTTGAGTGTTGAAGTTGTATGTGAACTGGCTTGAGCTGCATACTATCCAACGGCTTTTGAATCATTTATTAGTTTCCAATGGACTGAAAATTTTAAGTGGTTAAATGAATGGAATCTTAACCCCACATCATTGAGAAACATTGCTCTAGCACAGTACTTGTGTGTGGTCAGCCTCTGTAAACATTAGTCTCTTCGTTGTTACCATGGTATCAGGCAAAAATTAGACCATGATGTGTATGTTTCAAATTAGACCACTTAGAATTTCAAAAAACTCTGCTATACATTAACAATATTTTATAAGAGCATTTACAAGTAAAACAATGAAATGCCTGCTCAAGGTAACAGGTTTTTTTTTTTTTAATCTAAAAGTATTTCAAAGACAAAACAATACTGTGCATATGTTTATACCCACTATATCCTTGAATCAACAGCATGGTCTTGATGTTGAAGAAAGTACCTTGGAACCCATCAGACCACTTAAGCCCTTTGGAGTACATTAGGTTTTATGTGTAAGCTGTTGATTTTCCTTTAAAAACAGAAAGAATATGGGTTAATCGAGCTTTTGCTTTTCAAATTTAATGTTCTAAGGAAAATAATCTCATTTTTTCAAAAACTAAGACAGCAGTGTGTTGAAAAGCTAAGAGAAACATATGTTTATTTGAATTTAGAACTAAAAAGTAACACTAATAAAAAAATAACATGTCCCAACTCTTTAAGACCCCCCGCCCCAGACTCTAGGCCCATCTAACTTGCCTTGGGGATCAACACTGAGACCGTATGATTTTTCAAGAAGAACCAAGATCAAGACTTAGATACACTGAGAATGTTTTACAGAAAGCTTACATTGGATGGTTCTGACTAAATCCAATCTTTCACTCAGCAACCATGCTCATAAAACTAGCCAACTCCCAATTATCCATCCCAATAGATGGAAGCTTTGGGTATTCCAAAAACAGTGCTGGGTCCAAAAGTTAATCATATTTACTTTTGGAGGGCATTACGTGAAAAACATTTTTTAAATTGAATTTTGCAGACTACATAGACAAAAATGAAAACGAGTCTATGAGACAGAATTTTTATCACGGTAGGAGTGTTGTAAGAAAAAAACAATCAACAGTGGAGTGAAGGGCCTCCCCTGGTGGCGCAGGCGGTTGAGCACCGCACTGTGAAGCTGTTCACAGCCTCTGCAGTGCAGGTTCGATCCCAGCCTACAGGCAAGGGTCCCACATGGCATGGCAGACCTCTCCTGTCATGCCCGCTGCTCCCCTCAGCAGTGTATTTCGTCAGTCTGCCTGTTCTGATCCCTGCTCTGTCTCTGGTGAATCCTCTCACCCTCTCGCGCGTCTGGCCTGTACCCCGGTTCTTGTGTAAATGAATAAATTAAAAAAAAAAAAAAAAAAAACAGTGGATTGAAGATTTTAAAACTTTCCATTTTAGAAGAAGGAAGTTTTTAAAAATCCATGAATCCGTATGCACACATTCTAAGAAGACATGATAAATGAAGTGGATGGATGGATGGATGGATGGATGGATGGATGGATAATTGGTGGATGGATGGATGGGTAGATATGATAGACATAGATGGATGGATGACAAGTATGGAAGATTTTTTTTGCAGTAAAATGCCAACAAATAAATGTAGGAGGACTGACAGAAAATGTACCATATTGCAGCCATCATTGTTCTAAATCTGACAAAATTCAACCATGGCAGCTAAATAAACATAGGGTGACTATTTAGACAGCTAAATAAATATGGGGTGACTTTTATAGATTGAAAGTGTCTTCCCAGATTAATCAGTTCATAAGGGGGAAATTGTGTCTTTAAAGTGAAAAAACCTGGCAAACACCATCTTAACCCCGCAACCCAGAATGAACGTTACCAATGATGGCCCAACTTCCTTGACTTTGAATGTGAGGCCATGACAAGAGCACATTGTTTCTGTAGTAGCCTTGCCACCCACTATGGGAAAAAAATGAGCCTAATCCACATGAAGTCTGTAGTCAGGCAAACCCAAGCTGAGGTCATCCTACAAGCCGACTGGTTTGCACTTTAAAAAGTCAATAATAAGTGAAGGTTGAGGAAGGGTTTTCAGATGAAATGGAAATTGTAAAGATGAGACAATAAAATGTATGGTTTGATCCTGGATCTAAAAAAGGAAAAAAATGCAATAAGAACAGTACTGAGGTAATTGGTAAAATGTGAATAAAGCTAACCGCATAGTAGCTAACAGAGTTGTACCACTGTTAAATTTCCTGAATTTTAACTACCAGGGTTATCTCAGAAAGGGTCCTTATAACAAAATACCATTAATGGATTTATGGGTGAAGGGTTACTATGATGTCTGCAACTTACTCTTAAATGGTTCAGCAAAATTCACCGTGTCGTGTAATAACAATATCATATTTTATTATCTATATATGATCCTGGAAGCAAGATGTCTGTATTATCTACCAATGCATAAAGAGGGGAAATGTAAGAGATATGTTAAGTAAACCTAGAGGAAAGATAAACAGGGGTTTCTTGTATCATTGCTGCAGATTTTCGCGGCAGCAAAGATCATTTTCAAAATACAAAGTTTCAAAAAAGAAAGCCTGTCCACAGCTCCACCCCAGAGTGAAGAACACACATCGTCACAAGCTAGAGTGACTTCAGTCTCCACAAAAACCATCAGACAAGTTTTAGTTCTGTGAGTGTGGTTCACACAGCTCCCTCTCGCTGAGTCAAATTTCCAAGCTAGCCCGAGGCAAACTCTCAAACAGGCCACCCTTCTCCCCAGGAGCATGTGCAGTCAAGGAAACTTCTGCTCACATACTTAATTTTCACACAGGCAAAAGATAGCATTCATTATGTGATCTGCTATGGAGATGATAATGCCAAATGCAGTATCACCCACCTGTGAGCCAAATTCTCAGGACTGTGCCATTCACAGCGTTGTTATTGGAGATACTGGCCATGGGGGAGCTGCCTGCGGGGGATGGAGCTGTGGTGATGGGTGGACACCCAGGGTGTCCGGGCCTCAGTGAAATACAGAGCTGCTCTTTGCTACTTAACAGAAGCATTGTAGATGACCCCAAGGCATTGTAGATGACCCCAACGCATTGCAGATGACTCCAAGGCATTGTAGATGACCCCAAAGCATTGTAGATGACCCCAAGTATTGTAGATGGTTGGGCTACAACCATTTCATCCAGAAGGCTTCTTCTCCTCACCTCCCTCTGCCGTTCCCACTCTCCCCTCTCTGTCTCTTCCCCTCTTCCTCCTACTCTCCCTCCTCCTCCTGTTGCCTCCCACTCCTTCTCTCTCTGTCTCTCTTCCTCTCTGTCTCTCTCTGTTATTTAAGGGTTCCCTGTATTATACAGGGGCTTCCCTATGTTAAATGTGAGTAAGTAGATACCTAGACATTTCTATCAATGGTTGTGCCAATCAAATTTATTCTGGTAGTATGTCCATTCATGGTATGAAAATAACTTCTTTTCATTCATTTTCTTTTAAATTATATTTGTTGAGTTAACATTGGCTTCCAACGCTCTATATGTTTGAGGGGTATATGTGGACACATCTTCAAAGGTATG